GGGACTGCGCGAGCACCGCCGCTGACCCGTGTGGCCACCGAATGACGTGACGTCCCTGATGTGGGGACATATTCCTTCGGTGATCCACGGGTCAGTGAGTCCCCCCCCCCCCACCGACCCGTCACGCGGCCGGACCGTGACGCGACCGTAACGTGACCCGGGTGCACGTGCTGAGGAGCTGGACACCGGCCGTGTCTGGGCATTCTGAGTTGTGTGACGGGCGGGCCCGGGGCGGACCGAACTGGACCACTCGGCTCCAGCACCGCCCAGCACCCCGCGCCCGGACTAGTGGTGTCAATTTCAGAAAACGTATGTCCAAAGTCCGTCCAATGTCCAATGCTTGCGTCGATTGTCCGTCCAAAAATGTCCAAGCCAGCCATTTGTCCAAAGATGTCCGACACCTACGCAATAGTTTACACTCAACACTGTTATTTAATTTGCTTTTCATGTACCGTTACAAGCTCAAAAGTGTTAATCATATCGAAAGCTGAGCTTTCTAATAGCCAATCAATGTTAAACACGACTACTTTTTAAAAATGTTGATGTGTAGCAAGCGATTGTCCAAAATTGTCCAAAGCCTGCTGCCATTGTCCAACCGAATTCCGAATTGGACATTGGACAAAATCGGAATTCCGAAGATTCAAGTTCCGATTGACACCACTAGCCCGGACAGCGGGATGATGTCATAGTGACGTCACAGCCGTCAGCACGGGAGGCGGCTCATGTGAAATAAACTGGCCATCTGACCCTCTGGCGATGTTTGTGGCTGCCAGGCGCAGCACGGGGGAATGACCGCGGGTTGGCGGCTGGGTGCCGGGCCACGCCCTCTGGGGTCTGCTCCGCTGGGTCGGGGAGAGTCGAAGGAGTGTATGGAGAGGAGAGGAGCGGGTTAGTGGGAAGGTCACCTTCTGAACAGACCATAGCCGTTTTATGGGGATTTATGAATCTCGCCGTTGCGCCTGCCGTTGCCGGTGGTGCACTGTTTGTAGAGAAGTGAGATATTGCCGGCTGAGTGCTTGCACGTCCCTATATGAATTTTTTTTTTTTCAGAACTGGAGGTTGACACGTTTTTCCATTGATTGGTGTAAATTCTAATTGCTCACACAAGCCCGCACCTATGAGACTGTTACGGTGTCAATGTTCGTACTCCCTGTACTAATACAGGAAGTGTTCGTATCTAAGAGTGTAGGGAAGTGCTGCTGGCTACAGTGTCCTCTTCACGACCTATGACCGTGTCCGTATTTGACACCATCCAATGTGTTACCAGGCGCTTTCTGAAGCCGGCTAACGTCTGTCTTGTCTCATATCCGGAGGTAGAAATTACTGACACTACTGTATTTACTCTGACGTTAAGGTTTTAGCTTTTAGTGACGCTTTCCAAACAGGTCTGGGTTCTGTTCATGTTTGACAGCCATGGTCTCATGGAACTGGGTCTCTCACGCTTTGTGGATAATAGCGCATAAACAGCAAAAACACAGCTGACCGGACTACGGTTTGCAATTCATGCCTGTCCTGGCGCACATTTATCCAGCAATTGTTGAATTTTAAACGACAGATCCCAAACCTGCTAGAAGTATTGTTGAGCTTTTCCATGGAGCGGCTCACCCCAGTATTCCATCGCCGATCGAACGAATGATTACTTTGGTGGCCGAACCACTGGCACGAGCTGACGGCTCTGCCCATAGATGGCGGGCTAATCGGCGCGCCTGCATCTATTCTGTGCCGCACTACACGCCGATGGCAGAGGTGTAATGTTTGCGGTGTCACTGGCACATGATTGGCGGCTCCATTGTGGTGGCAGGCTGGTAGTGAGCCACACGCGCTACAACATATTTCTGGTGCATAAATAGATATGTCTTAGAAGCCCGCGATGCATTTCAAGCAGCTGCCAGCGGCACTGTTGGCCAATCTCGTGATGATCACGTGTCACGGCAGATCACCTGACATCCCGTCTGTATGGGCTTCGGTAATTTAATCACCATCAGCTCTGGAGTCTGAATCGATTTGGAACCAATGCATTTATACAGGTAACCTACGCACTACGCCGTACAGTTATTGAATTATGAGATTGATTACCCTTATACATTTGTACTGTCTTCCATCCCATAAACAAACACACAACGGTCGGCCGGAAATGGTTAGCCCTTTACCGGAAGTAACGCATCCGGATCAGCATCCTCAGGCATCTGACGGATGTCCTTCTTCAGACGTCCTTCACCTTGTCCTTTCTTGTGAGGACGAAGTGAGGAAGCCGGAAGGTTAGCGTACTCGCACCTCGCATGCTGATGAGAGCCTTTTTCAACTCATCTAGCTCAAGGTTCTGTCGATCGCCGGCCCCTTCACGAGTCCGTACGGTCACTATCGTATTTGTAGATACCCAACAAAAACACACACAACCGCAGGAAGATCTACACGGGGCGTGAGAAAAAGCGCCGCTATATGCTAACGAACCGACCCAACACGGCTTAGAGGGTCACGGCGAGCTTCGAGCTTGCAACATGGAGGTCACGTTTACAGGTCAATGATGCATGTGTGTAGAAATGGTAAATGCAACCGAAAATCACCGGTGGGGCGTTGTGAAAATGTCAGGGGTGCTTTTCAGCAGTGTCCGTTATGTACCGCGCCTCCGGCTGATGGTAATGCCTCCGGCGCGGCTCGCGAGGACTGGGACTCGCAGGACGGATCACACAATAACAGAACAGAACGGAACAGAATGCAAAACTAGGAAGTCGAATGTGCCGCCGACTCGACCTAGTAACGGTGACATGGTCCCTCCGGCTGCCGGCCTGCCCTGATTGTTACCCGAAGGATGTTTACTCCCTTCCAGTGGCGGGCGACGCCGGGCCTTGGAAGTCGGCTAGCCAGACTACTATGGACGTCAAACCCCTTGAGACCCCACTTTTTTGCGATAATTTTTTAATGCGTCAACTCTCGTTGACAATATTCTGGCAATGTGTGTTTCAGAACCTGCCGAAACTTTTATTACTAAGGTATTTTGACGCCAAACGATTATGAAAGGTACTTCTCATTCACTCGTAATGTTAAATTTCACGGAACAAATCTGCTGTTTGGGTAGAGGCTACGCGCTCATGGGGCGGAGCCACGTAATGACGTCAGCGCTAAGCTCCGCCCTACCCCTCCGGCGCTCCTTGCCCGGCGACCGGTCACTCGCGTCTCTCGCTCCATTCAGGCTTGATGGTGGGCGGTAGCTGGTAGCGGTAGCGGGCGCTGGTAGATGGCATTTAGAGCAGATGGCGCTGGTGGCGGGGCTCGAGTGTGGCCGAGTGCAAGCCTCTGCCCGGGCCTGAATTGACCTTAGCATTACGAGTGAATGAGAAGTACCTTCCATAATCGTTTGGCGTCAAAATACCTTAGTAATAAAAGTTTCGGCAGGTTCTGAAACATACATTGCCAGAATATTGTCAGCGAAAGTTGAGGCATTTAAAAATTATCGCAAAAAAGTGGGGTCTCAAGGGGTTTGACATTCATAGTAGTTATCGCTGAAGATGACTGGGGTAGTGTGGGTCGCAGGGGCAGCACCAGGTGACCCGGCGTGGTCCACTGCGCCGGCGGAGGAGCGTGGCGTCTCTTTGACCTGTCGCTGGTCGCGCTTCTGCGCCGGCCCGCGGCTCTAGCCGTGCCGCGCCCTGCCCTGCGGATGTTTACGCGGCCGCCCGCCGCATTCCGCCCCCAGCTGTCGGTAGATGACTGAATGCGGGGCGGAAGGGATGGTCCTTCACCCATCAGACGGTGGGACGGCAATGTGGTCACGTAGCGGACTGCCGTATCGGTGTTGTATCGGAGGGACGAATTTTCCTACGGAGCCTTCGATTAACCCGCGCCCCGTTGACGTCTGGCGGATACAGGTCCTGTTGATGTGGGGGTGGGGGTGGGAGGAAGGTTAAAGGGCCCCCGGTTTATTTCTGGAGCCAATGATCTGATTAGAAACATTCAAATGACATTCGAAAGATCTCATCAAGATTAATCAGCTACAGTCTCAGATGACCTCGATTTTTTAGATGTGAGTGACCTTACAGAAAGGTCAATTAAGGTCAAATGTTTCCAATTTACAATGGCGAGCAGTCTGTCATAAAAATGGACCCAGCTTTCTAAAATGAGCCTCAAAGGGATAAATTCATAGATGACCCATGGATAGTCGATAGTCATCTGAGTGGATGATGACCTGTGCTGTCATGGGAGGGGTCGGGTCAGCCTTGACTAATCACTTAAGACACATGCGTGAATCGTATTGAGCGGCATGCTAGGGATTATGAGTTTTCGAGCAGCTATGAAGCATAATAACAGGCGCTGTATATTAAAAGTCTTTCAAATGGCTACATGCATCCCTGGCAATTCTAGAGATCTGACAATTTTAGAAAGCTCCGAACCGGCCCCGGAATTCAAAACGTTTTTTTTTTCTTTAATAGGTATAGTAAGACTTTCCTTTGGGGCTGGGAAGTGGAAAGCAGCGCAGACTTGATTCAAATAAACTGAACATATCATGGAGCTTGCATGTCTTGGCATTGCTATAAAAATATACAATCTTTGTCTGATGCTTTGTACAAATATACAAAGCTTTTGTCTTCGATAATAGTCACTGACCGTAAACCAATTATGTTTTTACCCAATCATAGTTACTATTTACTAGCGAGCAAAATATAATATAAATTCCCCCAGACAAGTATTTTCGCGACGAGCTGCTCTGCGAAATTACGGTCTCTGATAAATGAGGACACGTCCAGCCGTTGTTCCTATTCCAATACGAATACCGTTAAGTGATTGATAACATATGATAGGCACGTTTATAACTTTCCGGAACCGTTCCCCCTAAAGCATGGTAACGCCCTCTGACGCTGTTCCTGGACACCCTCCCTTGGACACAGCCCCCTGACACTGCTAACTCGTCCGTCCTCGTCCCCTGGCCCATCCATCCAACCCCCGCTGCCGCCGACGTCGCCACTACCGCCGCTGGCGACGCGCGCATATAAAGAGCTGCGGCGCGCCGGGGCGGGCGCAGCCGACACCCAGTTGAGGCGGCGGTGAGACCGGCCGACTCTGCACGGGACGACAACCGTCACCAGCTGTCTTCAACCGTCAGCAGTCGCCAACAGTCGTCGGACGTCAGCTCCGACTCAACACCATGGACTCACAACAGGTAAAACAGGGGACTGTGCAGATAAATTGCTATACTTTTACGGTGACGTACCGTTAATTTACTTACCAGTAATGATACTTGTCGTAGTCATGCCACTTTGCCACTCAGTCATGTCTATTGGTGCCAATCGGAATTTCTTTTCTTGGAATTCCAATTTTTGTCCAATTCCAATTTGGAATTTGGACGGAATTCTTAACATTTTTTGGAAATTAATCGGAACACAAGGTCTTTAAAATTTAAAATTTTAAAACGGAGGCCTTTAAAACGCTTTTAAACACTTTTAAAATTTACGCAAAAAATGCAAAAATCGTTAAAAATTGGAATAGCCCCCGCTTTGGACAAAATTGGAAATTTACTTGGCAATTTCTTGGAATTGGATCGGAATTGGAATTGAAATTTCATGAAATTGGCACCACTAGTCATGTCATAGTCCTGAATATTTTGAACTTTTGCCGTTTACCCTTCGGACCATGAAACGTCAGTGTTCTACGCCTCCTAACGTTTTACGCGATTATTTCATAAAGCGGTGGCGCGTAGCGCCATCGTGTTGACCTGTCTGTAAATCTTTTCAGCACATGTAAAAATTTAATGTCATTCAAGCTCAGGTCACTTGCTATTTGGAAACCTCAAGAAAAAGTAAATGTTCGCCCCAGCTTCACAGACTAAAAGACTGCTTTGAAACTTTCAGCGATAGATTCGGGTGACATGATGTCCATACGGTTTCTCTCGTGTATTTTTGTGACCTAGGTCTAAGCAGTTCCTTTGATATAACTTACTGTACATGTACAAATTTTAGACCCAGGCCTTTCATACCTCAGGGTCTGGTCACCAGGTCATACCAAGTGACTAGTGAGAATGGCCTATCCTCAAAACAGTGTTTTGCTCGTTAAAGCTACACTGACAGACCGATTGCTTCGAAACTGTCAGCGATTGATAAGGACGACAGAATGTACGAAACGCATGCCTCGGGTTTTCGAAATCGGTGACCTAAGGTTAGGTCAATTTCACGACCTCTCCGTCTCCATCATCAGTCAAGCTGATAAATGAACTTGGACTTTTTCGGACGAAAGCGCGTTACACTCTTAAACACTGTCTAACAGGTTAATATTGAACATTGGTTCGGATAAAAGCACCCATGACCCCACTTAACCCTCGCATGTGTGCGGCGTTTGCCAGCTTCTAATGTGTAGGGGGGGGGGGGGGTCGGTTGGACACCCCTTGCCGTTTGGCCCCTGATCGAGCTAGAGCTTCGCGGAAAAAAAACGAGCGTGTTGCCCGTGACGAGAGGAAGCCGATGATACCCAATTTTAAGGTCCTAGGTCATTGGTTGACCTTTCAGGTCAGGTCAATGACCCAAAGTCGGGAAAATCGGGACCTGTTAGAAAGTCGTAAAGTGTGGCTGCTAAGGGGTTTTTCGGGGTGCTGATCACGAATATCGTGTTAGTTTTGATCACAGATGATGTCTTGAAGCATTTAGACCAGGTCGGGTCAGGTCAGGTCAGGTCAACCAGTAGGCGTCGTGACGGGTATTCGTAGTACGTGTCAACCGCCTCTGACAGTTTCGTAACATGTTACGAAGTCACCAAAACTACTTCGTAAATGTTCAAATGGTTGCTAAATTCGAATTCAGCTCCAAAAACTAGCCTAGAAACATGTAAAACTCGAAAAAGTGAACCGAGGTCACCCGAGGTCACCAAAGGTCAATGACCTGACCTGACCTTCAGGTGACCTTGACACCCACGGGAGTAACATCAAATCACATGTTTGAACGTTTGAAACCACGAAAAGCTTGCAAACGCGCGGCTAGTGCGAGCCGACATACGCGAAATCGCGATTCCGGCTAAACATGGTCTCGGAAAAGAGGTCACAGGTCAAAGTTCATTTGGGTCAGGGTCATGAAATTTTCAGGGTAGGTGTACAATTGATCAATGCGAGGGTACTGAAAGTTTCGTCGCGATCGGCCGCTTTTTACGCGAGTTATTCGCGAAAAACCATGGGGGGTCCATCCGACCCCCCCCCCCTACACATGCGAGGGTTAACCCGCGCCCCACTGGGGGGGGGGCTATTTATAGCCCCCCCTCCCGTTTTTCTGCAATAACTTCCAAACCGCTTGACGAATCTACGCCAAACTTTCAGTACCTTCGGCTGCATCAATTTGACACCTTGTGTCAAAATTTGAACTTCGTAGCTACCATAGGTCGGCCGGAAATGACGTCAGAGTGACGTCATGTTCGTCCGATTTCGACGCAAAACATTGAACCACGGCAATCGCTCCCAAGAGCTCAGTTTTTAAGCTAGATCCAATTTCTTTGCATGAAAGGACTTAGAATTGACCGCGCTATCAAACTGCTATCTCGGATTTTCAAAATTTTGAAAATTTCGAAAATTTTATATAATAATATTCAAAATTTATATTTTTATATTTTTTTCAAAAAGTTTTTGACTTTTCGAAAAAACCGGAATATATGTGACAGAACGCATGATTATGACTAACTCTAGCAAGTTTTAGCTAAATATCTTCAAAAATGGCCAAGTTATACGCATTATTGCAAAAAATTCACAATTATTAATTTTTCAAATCAATTTTTCAGTACGTATTTGGCATCGTACACCAATATAAATGGCACCATCGTGTTCCTGAGCTCAAACTGCATCCAATAGACACCTTTGTTGTTGAAAAATTTCAACTTCAAAATTTGACCTTTTTTGACCTGAAAGTGACCTGACCTAAGCTAATTTCGACTCAAAATGACCTTGAATGACACAGACGACATCAAATTCGAAATCTATGGCCTAAATGGACCATAAAACATGTGTCACGTGACCGACGCATGATATAATATTTTCGTGACCTGTGATGACCTGACCCTGACCTGAAAATCAAAGTACAAGTTTGGTACCCTCAAGGTATCTAGAGTATCTGTTCACGAGTGTGGAAACCAAAAATGAGCCTGATCTGACTTGTAAGACGGCGGCCAGAGCCCAAAATGTGAACAAGCCAAAGTGCTAATAATTTTTAATTTGACCTGACCTGTGACGTCATCGGTGACCTCGAGGTCAATGAAATTAGGTTTCGCTCGACAGTTTTTCCGGGGCTATCAGACGCCGTTTGAATTTTGACGATCGGCCCAGTAGTTTCGGAGTTAGGAGGGGGGGCTATGAATAGCCCCCCCCCCCAGTAGGGCGTGTTATACACAGACCCCAGTGGGGCGCGGGTTAAGACCCATGAGGTCACCTTGGGCCATGAAAGGCGAATAGCAGTTTTCGACAATTACTTTTGAAGTTGATAGGCATAGATAGTTGAACGACGAAAATGAAAACGATTCTAACGATGTTAGAGCGAATAAAACACCTTGGATGTGTTCATCTTGACGATACGGATCGACTAGTATACATGCAGCATGACCTATTTCGCTCAGGTAATAACTTTCACCCTTGGTCAAAATTTTCAAATGAACTTTTTGATGTCAATTCATAGTTCATTCAAAAGCGTCTCGGCGAGAGAAACACGATGCAGATGAATTCAACCAGTGGCGTATCCAGGGGGGAGGCCAAGAGGCCATGGCCTCCCCCTTTGGGATCAGACATGCAAGTGGGCCCTTTGGGTCACTTGTGCAGTGACGTACCCAAGGGGGCCACGGGAGCCCCTGAGGTCCAAGGATAACTCAGGGGAACCAGCGTGACGAAAGCGTTATGGGTCTCCCTGCCTTAATTCCAGTACTACAGAATGTCTTTTACTCGAAAAAAAAAACAATATCAAAGAGCGATATCTATCACAGTCACAAACACAGAGGGCCCCTAACTACCTGAGAGCCCTGGGTACCTGAGGGGCCCCCTGGTTACCTGAGGAGCCCTGGTTATCTGACGAGCCCCTAGTTACCTGAGGGGCCCCTGATTATCTGAGGGGCCCCTGGTTGTCCGAGAGGTTCCTGGTTGTCTAAGGGACCCCTGGCTACCCAAGGGGCCCCTGGTCACCTGAGGGGTCCCTGGTTATCTGAAGGGCCCTGGTTACCTGAGGGCCCCTGGTCACGGGACCCCTGGTTACCTGAGGGACCCCTGGTTATCTGAAGGACTCCTGGTAAAGGACCCCTGGTTACGATGGCCCCTGGTTACCTGAGGGGCCTCTGGTTACCCGAGGGGCCTCCGGTTACCTGAGGGACCTCTGGTTATCTGAGTGGCCCCTAGTTACCCAAGGGGCCCCTGATTTCCTGGATGGCCCCTGGCCAGTCATCTGAAGAAGCCCTGGTCACCTGAAGGGTCCATGTTTACCCGGGGAGTACCTGGTTATCTGAAGGGATTCTGCAGTCACATGAAGGCCCTTAGTTGCCCGTGGAGTCCCTGGTATAACCGGCCTTTGATTATCAGAGGGTCTCCTGGTCACGGTAACCTGGTGGGCCCCTGATCAATTGAAAAGCCTCTGCAGTCACCTGAGAGGCCCCTGATTGCCTTAACGGCCCCTGATCACTTGGATTCAATGACATAGCCAGGGGGCGAGGGACACGTGTCCGTTATGTGGTTTAGGGTCCCCTCGGGCCCGAGGGGCCCTACGGTGCCAATTGACATCAGAGGGTCCGCGCTGGCCACGCTTCAACTGGAAAGGAGTGAAAGGACACCACGGGGCTTTTGAGAACACGTCATGGGCTCTTATGTAGCCACACTTATCTCCAGAAGGGCCCCACCCGAGGTTCTGAAGGACCTTGCCGGCCTCTGAGGGCCCTTGCCGAACAATGAGGGATCAGCTTTAAGGGCCCCACACCTGTTTGTTATTCCCCCACGGCCCACACCAGTATTTCTTGAGGGCCCTTACAATGGCGACTGGGAGGGCCCTCACCGGCCACCGCCACCTCTCAGGGTCCCACACCAGCGCCTCTTAACCCGCGAGTTGCTGGGGGGGGGGCGTTAAACGCCCCCACTTTTTTCGCCGGGCCATAGCATAAAAACGGCGCGCCGCAGGCGCGCCAAATTTTGGGTACCTGTAGGGAATTGATTGAAGTTTGTTGTGACAAAGTTTCAAAAAAAAATCGGTCGGAAAATTTTTGAGATATCGAGGTTTTAGTGACGTCATGATTTCTGAGTTTTCGACCAAAAACGGCATATGTTCAAAAAATCATATAAAATCACAGAATAGACATACAGACATGCCGTAAACGCCATTAGACTGCCAATACCATGATCAATCAAATGGCTATCTTCGATTATTGATTATCGTTCCGTATTTTCCATAATCTTGAACTGAATCTTGGCAATTTTTCGTGACTACTTCACGACCATGATACATGCATTTCTTAAATTTAACTTTTTGAGCCAAACACGTACACATATGATAAAATGAATGTCACCATCGTGTTCTACGCCCCAAATTACCTATAAAACATGTGTCACAGGCTGCGAATATCAGTTTTGATTTTCGGGGATATGTGCCTACCCGGTTGACCTGACCTTGACCCTGACCTATGCTTGACTGACCCCTACATGGAGCTGACACTCTTGTAGGCCTTATATGATGGATTGTGCACCGTTTTGACAGAGTTTATGACGAGAGGCGCCCATTGCGAAATCCTGAAGTTCATGCTACTGAAAGCCCGATTTCAGGTGTTTGACCTGACCTTGACCCGACCTGTGACCTCAAAATTCAACTTTTAAGTACTCATCTGAAGCGTCTCGTCGCGCTCTTTCGTTTGCCGCCTCGTGCGTTTCGCTGCGCCTATTGGTTCTCGAGTTATCGGCTGGGGGCGTTTAACGCCCCCCCCCAGCAAACGGTGGGTGGCGAAATACCCCAGCAACTGCCGGGTTAACGGCCTACATCGGCGGCTCTGAAGGCCCGCTCACCGGCGCCTCCGAGGGCCCTATACCAGCGCATCTAACGGCCACTTACCAGCGACTCTGAGGGCCTCTTACCGGCATCTCTGAGGTTCCCTTGCCGGCCTATGAAGGGCCACTAGTAACTTTCAGGGTCCCATACATGCCTATGACAGCCCCTACCAACGTCTCTAAGCCCTAAGGCCCCCACAACGGCGCCTGTGTGGACCCCACACCAGCGCATCTGACGGCCTTTCATAGACACGTCTGAGGGACCAACACCGGTGACTCTGAGCGGCTCGTTCGCTTCGTTTCTTCAGTGGCAAAGAACCGCACCTGTGCGTGGGTTAAGTATGCTACCACTGGGGCCCCTAAGGTAAGGGTGGGGCCCCCTTGAGCAGGTTTGGCCTCCCCCTTTTCAAGATCCTGGATACGCCACTGAATTCAACGTCAAGCTTTGTGTCAAAAACTGTCTCAGAACAACATTGAAAACAAAAACGTTAATTTTCGGACGGTTTTTGCCCTCTGGATGCTAAATAATTCGCCTTGAGTGAAACTCGTTTTACTAGTATAACGTATCTCAAGTAGTTCTAGCCTTCTTCAGTTCGTCAGTTCTCTGTTGACTTATCCGCTTTACCAGTACAGCGTTATGGGCGCAAAATGACCACCGCAGTCGACGCGCCCGTAAACCCCAATGAACGAACGAAACGAATGAACGAAACTGACGTATCCCTTCCCCCCAAAAATGAAAGAGTTATCAAAATCTTCCCGTTTCTGCAACCCCGTAGCTTCCTTTGTCCCCGTTTGAGTTATGCACTGATTTGTCAAAAAGTGTCTGAATAGGCAAAATGTGACCTTTGATGACCTCTGGTAACCTGGCTTGTGACCTGTCGTACACCGAAATGCTTAAATTAAACATTATTTTTGAATCTCTTTGGATCGCTGCTTATTGTGTGTTGCAACGTGGCTCAGGAGCTGAGTTAAACAGGGGTGGGGAACGGTCAAACACCCGCCCACGGCCCGGCAAAGGTAGCGTCGAGCTCAAGTTAAATCACTACTCGCTCTCGACGTTTTACCATCGGAACACCGCCACTGCGACAAATCTTCCTCTCGTTCAATGCTATCGTTGCCCGTTGCTATAGAAACGTAGTACCGTTGCTATTCTATCCTCTGGATCCTTTGTTGCCGTTGCTAGGTAACCGTTTTTATGCGTCCAGCGCCCGGTGCCGTCTCGGCCCAGCGCAGTGCGGTAGTCAGCTGAGCTCGGCCCGGGGGATGGGGGGGGGGCTCCGACCTATCCTGGGCAGGCCGCTCGCTCGATAGGCAGCGTCGATACCGTCACCGTGCTCACAGCCAGGGGCAAACAGCGCAGGCACGCCGCACAGACACAGCACCGATGGGCACGACAGACAGCGAGGGTACAGACGCACGCATGATTGGCCAATCTGTGCAGGCGTATTTTTTCTAGTGACGCATGGTGCCGAAACCGTCACGTGACATTGGTGTCATTAGCATGCGGAGATTCAAAACAAAGAGCTGACCGATGGAAACTTCAGCAGAGTTTGTTTGTGATTTTGCAAGGTTCTATCCGCCTACGAGTGTACTTACGAGTATGTTCACGGGAACCTGAGATGCCTGCAAAGTGTGACTGCTTACTTATCGTAACCTAGCGTCCCACTGTGCATAAAACACGATCGCAAAGTAGGTCATGGCACCGCCCAACCCCTGGCGCCTGCCAATGACCAGTGGCAGCCCGCAGCAACAGCCAAACATCAATGATCAACACAACATAGCAGACCCTCCTCCCTTTGTTGTGGACACAGAAAGTAGCGGCAGCGACTGTAGTCATTATTTGCAACTGAGAAGGCCTCGTCGACTTGTGACATGCATGCTTAACAGGGGGCCCAACCAAACCCTACAGCTATTAACTCATTCATACTCGTCCGGTCAAAATGTATTGTACTCGGACAATATTGATGTGTTTGATGCTACCCGAAGTGGTGATATTGTCTTAAGAAATATTCCCCCGTTGCGACATACGTGACAGTCTTTTGTGGCGCTGACCGCTGTATGTATGTATTGTACAGGTGTATGTATGTATTTACGATCGTGGGCGATCCACACGTGGCGTGGTGATTACTGCCCCATGATCCCGATGACCCTGCTTCACTCGTGTGACGTCTGGCCGCGCTGGCGGTGATTTTCAGAGCAATGAAGCGGGCTGGACGCGGACCCTTCTATCCAGCGTATCCGTGGCCTTCTTCGGATGTCTAATCAGCTCTGGATACAACATCGGCGTACTGAATGCGCCACAAGAGGTGAGAGCTCTTTTTAGGGTGTGGTCCACCTCGTGGAAACTTTATTTCTCCATATACTTTAATTTAAGTGGCACATGGCACGAATAATCTCAAGTATTGACTATGCCGATATAAAAAGTTTCGTGCATTCTTATATATTTGCCCTATACGTGGGCGATCTATCAAAAGTTCATACAAACCTTAAATCGGTTGTGATTAACGAAATGATAGGTACTCAACATCACATTGCAATGATTGCAGATCATGGCAGTCAAAGCCGATGTGATTCAACCTTTGGGAATACGGTTCCTTGAATAAGGCAAATTGAAAAGTATCTGCCTCGGGTGAAAGGGCTTGAACGTTTTTATCTACTCGTAAAAAGCCGTACTATCGACCTCGCGATTGAAATCACAATATGCAGCGTTAGGTTGCCGAAGTTAATGTCAGGCTGCCCTCTTCGACCGCATGTGTCAAATAGGGCAACAATGCCAGCATTTTATGCTGGTTTTGTTTTACAATCACAAAGAAATGCAGAAAATCCGAAACAGTTATTTGGTCTTCATAACCCGCTGACACTTACGAAGGGAGGCGCACGAAGCGCGATTGTAAGTACGGAACGATGACTTCGTAATCGTCCACTATGACTAATTCAGTACAAGAGTATTGCGCAACTGACACGATGGGAAATCACCGAGACAGCTGGTGTTCAAAGTTTACTCTAGTGCTCCCGATGCATTTCCGCCGAGTCGATCGCACTGCGGCCCCCGTGAACCGGCTGGCAGCGAGCCAACTGGCGCGGCTCTGAGAGCGCCCGAGGACCCTCGTCTGCCAGGGACGCGCGGGCCGGGTCAGGCCGGCTGAGACGCGACCAGAGACGCCGACATCGACCGGCAGACTGCGGGCCGTGCCCGGAGAAAACCGGTACAAACCGGTACCGTCGGCGGCTCGGGAGCGCGGCGACACTGCGCATGTGTGGAGACGGTCGAATCAGCTGACGGCTTCTGTTGCGCTCACGTCATGCTGCGCCGCCCCCTTTTCGGCTGAATCGGGAGGGCACCGGGGTCATAGGTCACCGCCGAGAAGCATGGCCTGGATATGAGCGTGATGCGGGCCCGCCTGGTAACGGCCCGCTCAACGACAAAATGGGCCGGGGAGGACCGAGCCAAGCACGCCAACTCACAAGCAATGTGGGGTCTAAAAAGGGACTGACAGAAGCAGGGTGTGTAGGGGAAGTTGGGGGAACGCCGAATACTTTTTTTTCTGACGCCCGTAGCACGCAAGGTAGACAACATAAGCTTTTCTTGTTGGCGTCATTCGAGAGGCCAGTCTTTTGCCTTTCAAACATACCAGGCGCATTTGATGAATTCGCATACCGTTAAGCGCACAAACTAAAAATATCAAAGAAGTGACTTTTTCGGCGTTGCCCCGGACTGCGGGGAAAGCCGAAAATGGGAGAAATGATGTACGGGAATGCCGAAATTGATGTTTTGCTATTTTATCTCAAATTTTATTCAGAATTCGTCAAAGCTGACACGCGTTTTAAGAGCTTGAGGACGCTTGGTGCACACTGGAAGTTATAATTGTGTGATATAATAAGAAAAGGCCAGGTAAATCATTCCTTATGGTAACAGGCCGTTGTGTCGGTTAAAAGTGTAATTTGTGTGACTAAAAATACGCGTTGCTATTCTACAGCGGTAAAGTTCACGTAGCATGCTTTAACGCGCGTAATTGCACGTTTTCGGCATTACCCCAGCCAGCCATACTTTCATTTGCAGGCCCATAACTTTTCAACGTGCTGTATAAATTTCAAATAGGCAGCACACTTATGCAAAGACGTGCTGAAGATTACTTGACCGAATTGGCCAGACAAACGGTAGCATAATGAGTAGGAAATGCAGCTTCGAAGACGCATGTAGTACAAAGGAAACGTACCTTGAAAACGCTCTTGGCGCCCTCACAGCCGAAGTATTCCGAATGACGACTGGTAACAAACATGCGATAATTGGTAGTCACTTAAGCTTCAGAGCATCACTGACAGGTGGTATCCATGTCGTACGGTTTTCGAAATATCTCGAATTTCGGCTTTGCCACAACTCCGGCATTGCCCCAACTTCCCCTATTTTGTTTGGGTAAACAAAAGGAAGTCACAGTTGTCAATCGGAATCATCTTATATTGCTGTCCAATAAAAGCAAAAAGAGAACGCCATCGACCCGCGCCTCGTGTCGATCGAGGTGCAGTTCGGCAGTGTCCCGCAGCACACCGATGCGCTGCGGTACAGTCTACCTTCCAGTCAAACCAGTCCGAGTGAAGCCAGAGGAGTTCGGCTATCGGTAGCGCGCTCAGAAACGGCGCTTTTGCGCCGGCACGTGTTGAGCGGCGTGAGGGAAAAAGAGATAAAATGAATTTATTGAGCTCAAATATGTAAAGATATTACATGAAAAGGACTTAGACTCATCATCGGCGTAACGGCATTCAGTTTGGTTCTTTCAAACCTCAAATAGTGCCATGTGATTGGTGATGTGTAAGGACAAGGAGACTCGAGTTTTTGATGAAAAATACGTAACTGCTAAGTATCAGGAATATATGGAATCGGGAATTTCTGATTCCTTCTTAAACGATCTGCTAAGTTACAGCTGACATACGTTCTAGAGATAGCTAGCAGCGTCTATTCATTTTCCCGTGACGGTGACACCGAAAACTTACTCAAGAGTAAGTTTTCGGTACCAATCACAGGCAAGATTGCCTGTGATTCTGTGATAGTGCCATCGCCCTGCTATTGTCTTCAGTTGTGTTATATATATATATATATATATATATATATATATATATATATTTATATATATATATATATATATATATATATATATATATATATATATATATATATATATATATATATATATATCATGGATCCGAGCCCAGCTACTTGCTTGAGAAGCCAATAAGTCATTGCGCTGTACGATAGCCTTTTTTATAAAGCCCCTTTTGTGTTGGTTGATTCAAACTTTTTAGCGGCTCAAGTTATCAGAAGGGCGCGGACTCCAACTGCACTGCTTCACAATCTCCATTCCGCCACTCGGCACTCCTAGAATCCACGTCCAGCACCTTATGGCTGAAAATTCACTATGTGCAATACGGTACAGCCTAAGCACAGGCGTTTGTTAGTAACGCCATCTACGAGCAGTTTTAGTAATCTTTGTACGGGAAATGTTATAAACGAAATGGGCTTAAACACTGCCGATTATATTTGAGCACTGTCCGAAACTCTTTCTGTAGTGCAATAATAATTACGATTTGTGTTGTTCATGTTCAGATTCTGATGAAGATGAGCAATGCCTCTGCGGCCCACGACTTCGGAGTCATTCTGGACGCCACCTCTCTGGACCTCGTGTGGTCGGCTGTGGTAGCTGTGTTTCTCGTCGGCGCCACAGGCGGCGCTATGGTCGGAGGCGCAGTCGCTGATCTTGTAGGACGGTAAGGAATACTCAGTTACGTTTACCATATGTGCCCTGTGGTGGTGCACTGCAATTTGTATATCGACTGACCGATAGCATGCTGCAATAACTGATACCCACTTCAGACGAGTTGTGTGAACAGCGCATTGACTTAGTGACTTTTTGTTATACACAAGGTATAGTTAATTGCTTCCTGACTTGCTGGTTTTAGGTAATATTTGATAAATTTTTCTTTTCGCAGCAAACTGTCCATAATGGTCATTGAAATTGTGCTGGCCCTATCGGGAATTCTGCTGTTCATCGGATACGAAAAGGAGCACGTGCACTGGTTCTTCCTCGGAAGGATCTTCGCGGGCTTCGGCACAGGTAAGAACAACGGAGACGAGGGACGAGACACGATAATTGCTCTCGTGATTAGTGTCTTGTATCGTGATGATAAGTTTCAGTGACAGAAGTGTGACTTTTGCTATTTATCAAACACAAAAAGACCTATTCCGTTCCTTTCTAAGCACGAGTGAAGTCCTTGCGAGCCAATAGAAACAATAGCACATGTCGGTAAGCAACAATCGTTTCGAAGCATCCCCGACAGTCGAATAAGGATTTAGCATTCTGTGTTTATGATTAAGAACGCTCGCTCTCGGATGTCGGTGTCTTCTTGATAAGAAAGCTGGCGATTGGTCTTGTGACGGCTCGAACTCAGCTTATCTTGGGATGACTCAGATTCGGCATGCTGGTTTTGTCGTGCCTGGGACATGGTGCGGTGTTGGACAGCTTTCGAACAGGCCTTATATATAGAGGTATGTGTGTATATGTGTGGCAATGCTCATTCTGGTATAGTTTCCATTTCTAACGGACTTGACTAGCTGGGCGATGCGCTGTTTCCACACACGCACGTAGCTGCTTACGTATTTTCAAGTGATAGGTACACATGGTTTGACGTGTATGCGTGTATGAAAGAATGGGTGGTTTGAAAATAATCTTCCTTTACGTGACATCAAATTCATCGAGAAATGCTAAAGTCAGTATTAGCTTACTCTGACGCTTTAGGACGCGTCCATTTCCGGTTTCAGCACTTTTGTTACTTTGCTAGCAGGCCGTTTACTCTTTATATTTGTCAGTGCGATTCTGAAGGATGAAGCGCAAAAATGGAAGGTTATTTCCGTGCCACCTGTACCTCAGCTAGCCGGTGTGATTGGGAATTCCACCCAAATTCCTCGGCTCCACCTCTTGTGAGGCTCCACTGGCCAGACAATGACCGGACTTGTTCGCGTCTTCTGCGCAGAGGTGTCGCCGGCAGCGCCAGCGTCCACCGCTCCCCGCCAGGCGACCATTTTAACACACCACTTAACATTACAGCTGAGGGCCGCACGCGCCCAACGGGCACGGTACGTAATGGAACAGGTATACCAGTCGTCTGTCTGTGTGTCGGTCAGAGTATGCGCACACTTAGTCAGCCGCTGGCGGCCCCGCGACTGCGACTGGGCGCGATAACCGCGACTGTGTGAAGCGTAGGCCGCGGTCAGTGCAACGGACAGCCTTTACTTGCTAATACCTCACCCACGCGCTAAATTTTCAGCAATAGCCGTAACAGTTTGGACGATGAGCAGAGTGGAAAATGGAAATTTTCCGCGATAATTGATTCAGTCTACCTTTACTAACATTGCAGCTTTTGCTTTGAAAGTAATCAACTGCTCTCTCCAGCGTGTCATTTCTATCAAAAGCTTTCTATCGCTGTGCCGTTGGTCGCTCTCGCTTAAAGTTTCGTCTCTCCACAACTAACACCCTCCCGTTCAGTGGCATTAGCCGGTCGGTCTGCGCTCCTCTGTACCCCCCGTGACGTCAGTGCTGTGGTCGCCGCACCCATATGACGTCATCGCTATGTGTTGGCAGGTCTGACGTCCACCGTCTGTCCGCTGTACGTACACGAGGTGGCGCCACCGCGCCTGCGCAGTGCGCTCGGCAGTGTCACCAACCTGGGCTTCTGCGTGGGCCTGCTGCTGGGACAGATCCTAGGACTTCCTGAGGTGCTCGGTAGGTCACGGGAGGGAGAGGGATCCGTCAGTAGGGGCATTAGAAACTGGGACAGATCCTGGGTCTACCTGAGGTGCTCGGTAGGTCACAGGAGGGAGAGGGATCCGTCAGTAGGGACATTGGAAACTGGGACAGACCCTGGGTCTACCTGAGGTGCTCGGAACGTCCCGGGAGTGAGAGGGATCCGTCAGTAGGGGCATTGCAAACTGGGACAGACCCTGGGTCTACCTGAGGTGCTCGGAACGTCCCGGGAGTGAGAGGGATCCGTCAGTAGGGGCATTGCAAACTGGGACAGACCCTGGGTCTACCTGAGGTGCTCGGAACGTCCCGGGAGTGAGAGAGATCCCTCAGTAGGGATAGTTAGGCAGGTCCTCGTTAACTGTCCAAGGCTGCCGCTAGCATTGTACACATTGGATTGAATGAACAACTACATCGTAGAGGCAGATAATGAAGCAACATACTTAGCCCGAGTTCAGTATGTAGGTATTTTATCTTTTGAGCATTTGTTTTAGCATATAATTTTTCAGCTATATGATCCAATGAGCATTGAGGATATGGTGGACCAATCGATAAGTGACGGGATGTTTGTTTCGGTTGGCAGGTCGCGCCGACACGGTGCAGTACCTGCTGGCGGTGTTTCTGATCCCGACTTTGGGCGCCTCCGCCATGCTGCCCTTCTGCCCCGAGAGCCCCAAGTACCTGCTCATCAATAAAGGAAACGAACAGGACGCCTTCGCAGGTAGGCAGCGCCGCATCGCTAAGTGTACTTTATTTTCGACTTGTTTTCATTAACACATTTTCTCATCTTTTTAAGCACACAGTCTCGTTCAATCGTCACCATTACCAAAAATCCCTCCCTTCACCCCGTCAGCTCTGAGCCGTCTGCGCGGTCTGCCGCAAGAGGCGCTGTCGTCGGAGCTAAGCGGATACCGGGCCGAGGCCAAGCTGGCAGCCGAGACGCCGTGCTGGACGCTGCGCCGGCTGCTGGCTGACGCCGTGTGCCGCCGCCGGCTGCTGGTGCTCCTACTGATCTGTGCCGGCCAGCAGTTCTCCGGAGTGAATGCTGTGAGTGCGGTGCCGAGAGGGAGCGGAGGGAGGCGGGGTGGCGATGTGGGTAAATAATTAATCAGGTGCGGCCTGGGTATGACGTTTGGCTGACAACTTTCCAGCTCACGAGTTGTTTCAGAAACAATCTTAGCTCGGTTACTTTACCACGGATTCAGTTTGTGGTGCAATATCCCTACAGCTCCTCCTTGGCTCACCCCTCTTATCAATCTCTCTGCAGGTGTTCTTCTTCAGTACGGCTATCTTCCAGCGGGCGGGTCTGAGTCAGTCACAGGGAGCGCTCGCCTCTCTGGGCTGCGGCGCTGCCAACGCGGCGCTGGCGCTGCTGGCGGGCCCGTGCGTAGCGCGTGTACCACTGAGGCGTCTGTTGACCGTCAGCTGCCTTGGCTGCGCCGTCTGCCTGGCTGCCTTCGCCGGGGCACTGTGCCTCATGGTCAGTGGACGCGTGATCGTAGAGGCTAAGACCTGCAGGCTTTCGTCGTTAGAATCGAGACCTCCGGATTTCGTTAAAGAGTAATGACTCTTACGTATAATTAATCTTGTTGAACGTCTCAGTCACTGCACTGTTATCAATAAGGAAGTTATTTTTTGTCACTCCTCCGTGCGGACAATTATCTAAAGCGTGCATCTAAATAGCACGGTCTCAGCTCCTGTCATTGACAGTATCTAGCCCACTCGCCCGGTACTGTTCTCACTCTGGTCGCGTTACGTTCAGCCGGCTCACCACTCTCTCTGCCTCCCGCAGGAGACGTACGTCTGGGCAGCCGTCTGTGCGGTCGTCTTCCTCATTTTCTACGTCGTGGCCTTCGCGTCAGGGTTCGGCCCCATCCCGTGGATGCTGGGCGCCGGTAAGTCAAGCCAAGTAACACACATAGGTCATAATATTTAAACATTGTTGTTTCTTTAAATGATGATAATGGAGCACCATAGTTCCAGTATATGCTGTAAAATTAATTGAATAGTTATTTTAAATAACTGACGAACTTGTTACTGAACACGGTACCTACATTGCAAAGCTGACCGACCTCTGACACTTCCTTCCCTGTTTTCAGAGATGTTCGAACAGGGCCCGAGGGCGCTGGCCGTCTCCATGGGCTCGGCTACGATCTGGGTGTCCAACTTCTTCATCGTGCTCCTGTTCCCCGTCATGTACGCTCAAGCTGGCGTCGCCTGCTTCATATTCTTCCTGGTGTGCTGCCTTCTGGCGGCGGCCGTGGCACACTTTCACTTGCCAGGGCCGACAGTAGAGGGTAGCACAGTCAAGGAAATGGAGGCCGTCCAAGTGTGAAAGTGCTTTCAACTGTGGTATAAAGCGAGCTAATGTTTATATTAAACATATTTGTTCATTGTGTTGTATATGACATACATTTTAGCTAAATACATTTTCATCCATCTTCATAAATACGCGTTTGATGTCTCCATGCCAGGGGCTTCCGCCGGGGGAGGGAGTCGGGGGTCCGGAGTCGGGCCCCGAATAATTTAAATTCCGTAGTATAATGTAATGTCCAAGAGGTCATGTTGGGGTGATGCCCGCCCTCCCCTAATCCTGATATCGTGGTGGAACCACAGCTCCCTGCCACTGGGTCCTAGAAAATGAAGGCCTAAAGGTAGGATTGAGCGACCAGGCATACAAGAAATGCATACCCAGTAGTCAGCACTGCAGTACACACTGCAGTCAGCCACACAGTACACACTGCAGTCAGCACTACAGCAGACAATGTCAGTGTGTATCCAGTACCGTGCAGAAGGCAGCCGATCAGGATGTAACGGGCCACAGGGGGCGTTTATTGGCGGGGTTGTGGTCTCTCACTCAGTCCTCCCAGTTCAGATAATACTCGTCCAGCACAGAACCCAGCACAGTGCACTCTCGGCACAGATCACACGCACAGGACTCACACACTCCACACACGCTTCCCGGACAGTACGCTCACACAGTGTAGCACACATGGACTCAGCACAGTTCGCACATACCCGGCACAGGACCACCCGACGCCAACCGGACAGCGGCAATCAACGCGGCGCCTCAGTGGCAAAATAGTCGGCCCGCCGCCCAGACTGCTTTGGCTCGTCAATATCACACGTACTTGTCTATATTCGGCTGCAGCCGTCAGGCTGAGTTGACGAGGCTACACAAAACCAGAACAGTATTATCGAACACATTTTTCAGGTAAATATAATGTCTGCCATAAAAATAAATCCATAATGTCAAAACAGTATTTAACGTGTTTTAAATCAACGTTTCTACTTTGCCCCAAATTAGGCGTGACATCATAGATTCAGCATAACAAAACTAGCCGGACTAGCCGAGGACAGGTCCGATGGCCCTGGCTTATTTGACGTCCTAACCTCTCGGATCTCTGAGCTAAAACGTCACCGTCAACTCGGAACTCTCATAATACTGACAAGTGGCAACGGACACGACGAAACGAATAGCACATGAACATCACTCAAAGCTGACGGTTGGGCCCGGGCGAAACCCATAAACAGACCAATACCATAGCGGCTCAGCGAGCAAATCTTCAAACATCTGTTAAATACATTCGTACGTAAGCAGCGAGAGGAATCATGAAACCGCACCGCGCGTGGGACCGAGCGGAGACAAAAGCAGGGCACAGCTCTGCCCGCCCTGAAGGGATTTGTGTCATAGTTCATCTCAAATGTCCTCATAAAGGGACCATAAGAAGTGACCACGGCAGCACACTCGCCGACCCGCGACAACAGTCCTCGAGAGCGTCACAGGTGACCTTGAACCGCACAGATCAGGGCACAGCTTACCGCGGACACGTCAGTCACAGGTGAACTCGAGCTGCACAGGTCAGGTCAGGTCAGGTCACAGTTGACCTCAGAGCCCCACAGGTCCGGTCAGTCACAGCTCACGGCACCTTTTTATTTTCTTTCGGCGTCCAAATACCGTTCCATGGCAAGCTCCGTCGACACTGTACGACAGGCCCCTGTCTGACCCGTACCATCTGGCACCTACAGCAGGTGACCCTCCGAGCCCGATCACCTCGACTGTCCACTGGTCAGTTCGAGCGCCGGCCACCGGCGGCGGTCGGGTCATCACGAGAGGTCCTCTGTGACATTTTCGGCCACCACCTCTAGCAGCTCGGTGGACCGGTCGTTGAGGAAGTAGGTCACCATTTCACCCTTGCCCTTGACCTTGACGGGTCCGCGGCAGGTGAGCGGGTAGTCCCGCTCGTGTAAGATGTGATACACCTCTTCCGTTACCTGTGGAGGGAGACAGCCGGCGTCAAAGACCTGTCTGATGTGGCAAGTGCCTTACTCGAAGGGGCAGATATGGTGACGATAAGGATTAAAGATCTGACAATATGAAAAGCATATCACTATTTATTTGTGCTCATTGTATTTCGTTTCACTACGCAACAAAGCGTTCCAACGAAATAACTTTTACTGAATAATATATCTCGAACAATTTATTGAAACAATATCGAATGATTTTTTAAAAAATAATGTCAACAAATTGCTCAATTCAAAGCCGCGCCTAATGCATGCCCAAAGCAATCGGTGCTGCCGAGCCTAGTCCCGAACCCGGACACCATCCCCGATCCCGGCCCAGCTGACCTCCCGTTCCCGGCACTGCACAACCATTCGTCAGTCTGGCCGGCTATTGCCGTGCCCAGTATTTGATTACCACGTACGGTCATAGCCTCCATTTCCGTATACATAAGGGCAGAGCGACAAATCGTCTATGCAGCCATCATGGGCCGGCCGGCCGGTCTACCCGATATTGGGCTGAGCAGCCAATATCCATGACACCAATACACAGAAGGAGCTCATTGTACGTTCATCAGCAGTGCGCCGTCATCAAGAATCGATCGCAGCATTCGCGACTCTGGCACGTTGCAGCGAGGCACAGAACAGCAGAAGTATGTTTATTTCCCCTCATTCGACCGATTAAAATATTGGTAAACATCCAAGGCAATATTATTGAATCGTAGTTGTAACTACGCACGGCATCCAACTGAATGCTGGCATTGCTGGCTGTCCTTGTCCAGACTGCCACTTCACGTTCTGAAGTGACTTGGAGAAACGCAGGCAACTAAACGTTAAGGGGATAAATAGCATATGCTATGCCTCATGATAAGATAAATGTAACTATAGTCTGTTTTTCGTATCTTCTACCTTCACTCAAAGACGGTAAACTCTCTAATCACGTGCTCCAGCGAACATCTAATTAAATCAATACCGGTGCAAAGTCAATTTTTATCTCGAACGCAAGATCCAACGTCTGTCCCCTTGGCCTATCCCGTTAATCAAAATGCGATGTTCTTTGTCAAGTGAAATGCATTTGCATAAAAACGTGACATCATATTTTCATTCTGGCAAAATTATCCCTTTCTAATTTCATTATGTTTTCAAACAACAGAAGGGCAATGGCCTTGGTCTCAGACAAGACAAAATGATCCTAACGTTTTCTTTCAACGTTTCAAAGCAAAAGAAATGTGGGTTAGGTGACTGAAATAAGGCGGTGAAGAAGGAGCACAACCAACGAATTTCGCAAGAATAAAGAACTTACTTCCTTGGATACCATAAAGAAAAGTGTTGAAGGCGCGGAGAAACACCGTCGGTGGTGGCACAGTTCAACTCCGTCATGCTTTCAGCGCAATATAATACAAAAAAATGCATACGTGGGTGTTATTGTCGTTATTACCTGCATTTGTGTATCATAATATAAGCCCTAAGGCGTTGGTGATTGCCAGTGGTCACTCAAAAAGTCATGTCAGATGATAAAGATCACCAGCACCTTTTGACAATACCTTATAGCTGCTAGAACTAAAGATGTTTCGACGGCGCTGTAGTTCAATCAGTTGACAAGGTTTGGTCAGATTTGTCCAAACATGTTGAGCTCGGGAGTTTTTTTAAATTAATGACCTTCAGTGGCCTTCACTATTGACCTCAGCAAAATGTGGTTATAGATTGCTGAAAGTAATTGTTGAGAGCTATCGATTTTTGCCCGCGTCTTCGCATCTTTCTTACTTTTCGGGATGATCGCGTGAGGCAGATAGGAAAACTATAAGATGAAGCAAATCTGCCTGGGGACCCCCAAACGGGCGTGGGCTAAGACAATTTTGTTATTCGTCGGTGTAAAAATATCGCAACGTAAATAAAGCAAAACATAAATCAAGCATTTGAAAAAAAATATGGCAGAACATAGGAAGTGGAAGCTTTAAACTATTCTTTAAATGTTCTTAGCAAGAGCGCTTCGCACAATGCAAGTACCTATGAACAGCAAAACGTCCTTGTGTATTATATATAGGTCGGTAGTCAGTACCAAAAAAACCGTGGTAACGATAATACAAGCGATACTCTAGCTAAAAGGTTTCTTTTTCTATTTTAACTGCGCAGCGAAGGCGAGCTCCAACACGAGCAACAAACTCTTGCAATGAGTGGTGGGCCATGCGGCCAAGATTTGAAAATTATACCCTAAAAACGTGCTGGAGGAACAAAACATCTTTGAGTGGAGGTAGAAGATACGAAAAACAGACTATAGTTATATCTAAAAAGGAATTGCGTCGTCCTGTGTCGTGTGTCGTACATTGTGTCAGCAAAGCACATCGTCAGTCAGACCAGGTCATCGTCAGACTGAGATGTATTACTTTGCCTATTTATTCAGTTAGTCTCAAAGCTGAGCACTTCTTTTCTTAAAAGTTGCTGTGAGTTTTACACTGGATCTATAAGCTCCTGTAAACGTCGTCCATTGGAAAGTATTTAAATAGCTAGCAGCACTCGTGGCATAACTGTTAAGTGTAAATTATAAGTAAATAAATAATCATACCCGGCTAGCTATCATGCTGATGCTAAAAATGTGTTTATTTTTCGCACAGTGCCAGTTTTGAGGCTGTGGCTAGCCGATTTTCCAGACCCGATGAGTAAAGCCGTTCCAGTCCTGCATTGAGCCGAGCGTGCCCAGCGGGTGGAACGCGAGGAAAATTGAAATAGTCGATTGGAAGGTTAATTGAGCCGGGTCCAACCGGGCCAAACTTCTGACAAATGTTCCTCTAATGGGACAAACTTTCTGCCGGCGCGCTATACGTGTCCGCCCCAAGGTTTGGAGCTGGGTTCTCGAGGCAGGCTTCCTTTTAAAGGTTACATATCGGGAGGCTTGGAGTTGGATATTGTCTGCGGAGGCTGGAACCCAGCGGCAGGATTTACTAAAAGATACTATACCTATAACTATCGATCCTTAGGTACACATCGTGTCGGCGCCATATCAGTCAAGTTGCTGACCATTACCCACTCGTTTTCACGAGATGATCCACTCATTATAGATAAGTTTGTTTTTACAGGCGTTTTAGTGTTAAATGACTATGCACACCATTACCTACACTAAAAGCCAGTAAACGGAAAACAGGTGAAGATAGCGTTCACTCAGGAGCTAGCGGCGTGATTGCTTAGCCGAAAGTTGAATGCCGAATGAATAACGAATTAAATGAATTAAGCAAAATGATGAATAAATACACATTTCATACCGAAGTAAAACATTTCAACAGCCACAGGTGCGTGAAATGGATCCAGTGAGATTAAAGCGCACACGAGTCACATTCAGATGTGCTATAAAGGAAGACATATACAACACCACATTCCGAAAAACTAACGAGTTAAAATAAAAAAAAAAAAAATCAGCCAAGAGATGCAGCACCAAGTTCGTGTCCATGATATTTTATGTTTTTTTTTTTTTTTTTTTGAAGCAGCTAATATCGCTTACATCCGATTACACGAAGTACATGGATAGTCCCATCCGGACCGAGCCGTGGTTACCATGGATACGGTCCACACACATCTGGTGACCTTAGCTGATCGGACGGGTGCACCCTCCGCTCGGCGCCCTGAGGCCACTCTGCGCCGCTCTCCGCTCGTCTCAGCCCGTCTCAGTCGCTCTCGACAGGCTGGACGCGGCCCGAACCGCCAGCAGGCTGTCGTCACGGTCAGCTCTTGAGAGCGCTCATGGGTGTGCACGACAGCTGCGATCAGCGTCTGACGCCGTCCGGCCAACAATCGATGGCAGGGAGCCGGGACGGCGGCGGCGCCGGCGACGCAGGCACCTCCTCTGACGCGGACAAACATGGGCCCATTAGGAGCTGCTCCTCCGGATTGGAGCTGCGCCGCCCGGGCCGGAGCCGGAGCTGGGTTCGGGGAGCTCCGACTTCGGGAGCCACCGCGTCCGTTTGGCCTAATTTGTCCGGCGGTTTTGAGTGGTGTCATTATGATGACAGATGGTGACGAATTATGTTGAATTTCATAGAAACACTTGAATAATAAAAGCTCAAAATATTGTGTAGTTTCTTTTAAGTGACTCCATCTTACAATAAATTTGTTCGCCTGAGTATAGGACGATACCGACTCACAGCTCGGGCTCCATTAGACACTGCAAATATTCCACCATTTTTCTGCGTGGTTAGTTGCAGAGGTGGAAACAACCGGAATAGAAAGGTGGCAGCGGTGAACCGTTCTTCAGCAACTTTGTCAGTTGTTGGACCTAATTGCTACAACGTTGAAGCGATTGCCGGGGAGATACCCGCAGCGTTCTGACCTTTCGCACTGTCGGCGGACCGGTCAACATTGTGACAGAGCTGATTGGAAAAATAAACCATTAGCGAATATCCGCCTCAAACTGGACTTTTCCCAAACTAGAAACTGACCTTTGTTATAAATTCAGAGTGAGTAGCACACATACAATACAATGTTTCATTATTGCCATTTTCAAACTCGATTGGAATGGCGAATATTAACCAAGACTAGCATGGAACACTTTTAAACGTGTAAATAATATGCTGTTATCTTTTTGTGAAATGTTTTCTCCACGCTGGGCGCAGGCTGAAATACATACACTTATCAATACCATTATCGATGCAGTTTTGCTAGTCAGCGTGGGTTCTACATAAATCATATTTTTAGGACTGGGGGTGATCATTTATATTTTCACTGTCCCTTCGAGGCCTTGAATGCGTCATAGTTCACGTAGCTTTCTCATCTCGACTATTGCAAAAGCAGGTGCGCTATTGCAACTCGACCGCAGTCTCACATAAGTTTGTGTCCGCGGGTTTCTGGGTACCGGGCGTGATGCGCCACTAATTTGGGTCGTAACATGTGTCATTTATCACTCGTACGCCGTATATCACGTCGTTTAGAGTATGTTATTACATACGGCGGATGTGTTGTGTGTCAATCCAAGTATATTTTTGTTTCCGCAGCATGCAAGGGTTGAGGACGAGGTGATTTCTTTTCAATAAACATTTCTAATCCGGTCCAGTAACAGTGAATACTGAATGATCCTACTGGGTTGAGCTTGAATCTTTAGGAATGGAAGTAAGGTTTGACTAACAGGGCAACGAAAATTAAGTTAACTTATCCAAGGAAAATTTGGTTTAGCTATGCCTTCAAAGGAAGTCAGTGTTACTATAGTTGAGAGAGAGGGGGGGAGGGAGAGAGAGAGAGAGAGAGAGAGAGAGAGAGAGAGAGAGAGAGAGAGAGAGAGAGAGAGAGAGAGAGAGAGAGAGAGAGAGAGAGAGAGAGAGAGAGAGAGAGAGAGAGAGAGAGAGAGAGAGAGAGAGAGAGAGAGAGAGAGAGAGAGAGAGAGAGAGAGAGAGAGAGAGAGAGAGAGAGAGAGAGAGAGCAATTCATTGTCGATTTGAAGCAGTTCCAAAGCTCCATCCCAAACCTGAGTGTCTTTTCCAACCACTGAAGCGATACCACCCGTTTTAGTGACCGTCTTTACGTGGGGGAAAACTCCACCCATTCCATTTAGAACACTCAAGACAGGCATCGATTTTATCGATTCCACACAGCTGCTCGCCGCACACTGGACAAAAGTGTTACAAAGTAAGGCTGAAAGTCGGCGACGGCAAACAATATTTAAACATTCCTTACGTAAAGTGGCGTTCGCTGTTTAGATGTTATTGGAAAGCAACAAGCAAGATTTAGTTATTCATCAGCTTTAGCATTCTTGATTGAAATGCAAAAGGGGCTAAATTAATAGAGTGATGAGATATCAGACCTGCAGAGCTGGAAAAAAGGTTGATTTACGTCTCAGCCAGCACCGGTGGTGGCACATTGAAGATTAGCGTGCGAGCCTCGGTGGCTGCCTCAATGGAGCTAATCAGGCTCGGTTCAATGAAGCTAATTTCAGTTCACTCGCCAGTTTGCCAGCGCTTATCTCCAGCCTGTATCTGGGTTCCACATTCATGTTCAAGTATCCCTCTCCCCGACGGACCAGTGCCAGTCTGTTAAACTGTTGTAATGTACATACCATATATTAACCTGTTAAACTAGCTGGTCGACCGATCAAAAACTAGCGGAACTCACCTGAATTTTGTCGAGCACGCCAGTCGAGTCCATCCGACTGGCCACGTTGACTGCGTTCCCCCAGATGTCGTACTGGGGTTTCCTGCTGCCGATGACACCGGCCACCACGGGACCGATGTTTAAACCTGCGGAGGAGGGAGACAGTCAACACCTTGCAGCGAACGAGAGGCATTACTGTGATATAAGACAATTATAATCCGGCAAATATAAAAACACATTAAATTCTGTACTTCACTTTAATGCAATGGGCGAACAGTTGAACGCTGAACAGTTGCACTGCAGATTAACTTTCGAAACACATAGACCACATCCATTGTCAGTTGACTTGTTTTAGCGTATCAATTTATATTAATAGCTTCGTTTTAAATGCACTACGTTTTTTACCTTGCTCCCGGCGGGTAATAGAGAACACCGTACGATTCCGATAAAATCAATTCATCATCAAAGTTCCCGATCGGCAGGGGCCGAACAATCAATGGGATGGGAATGTGCTGTTTGTGAGGTATTGCGCTGTAAAGCTGTCACACGCTGCTGCTCGATTGCGACGATAACACTCGAGACAGTAACATCGGTCCACACTTGGATGCATTTTCATCAGCCCCTAGCAAAGAGAACGGCCTACAGTCTCCACTGAGACCGTCCCACAGTCTCCGTTGAGACCGCCCCACAGTCTCCGTGACTGTCCCATGCAGTTTCCACCGAGTGTCTCACAGTCTCCACTGAGACCGTCCCACCTTCTCCACTGAAACCGTCCACAGTCTCCCCTGAGAACGTCCCACAGTCTCCACTGAAACCGTCCACAGTCTCCGCTGAGACCCACCCACGGTCTCCACCACCGTACCGTGTTTTACCGGCACAGCTCCGTGGCCTGCATTGACTGCAGGCTGACCAGCCCGCCGGGCCCGCCGAGACGGGCGCTGCCCCAAGGGTACCGGTCTCCAGACGACTCGAGACCACTCGAGCCTGATTGGGCATTACGGCAGCTGCAGCGGCGCCGGGGCCGGCGGGCGCGGGGAGTGGGCGGACAGGAGCGGACACAGTCTTCGGTCGGGCCGTCGGGACCGAGCGGCGCTCTGCTCGTGATTGCTGGGCTTAGGGCCTAACACGCTGAGCTCGGCCTACACCGAGGGGATTCGCCGGGATATAGAGAGTGAATGCAAAGGCTCCGCTCCCAGGTTAATGATGATCGAAGTGTCTAATGCATCCATAATCACTATATGATTATAAATTATGCATAAACGTTTTTTTTTTCCTTCATAGATACAAGATCGTATGATTGATATAATTCGTCTCAATCAATATCATTCTCGTGTTCTCAATGTAGCAAGAATGGACATTAAATGCCACTGAGTCTAGCGGGTAGAAGAGCTGTTTTAGGCCAGTCCACGCTCAGTGCCGGTGAATCCTGGAATCGGGCGCTTGTCCAAGCCATGCCGGGGCATGTGATCCGCCGCTAACAGTCTCATCAGCCGCCGGCCGACAGCCGCCGACGCTCCGTGACGTCATCGAACTGGCGGAACAAGGCCCAACTTGGCAGCGTGTTAAACTCGGCCGCGGAATTTCACCGACCAAATGGAGCAGCATGACCATATCAGGCGAGCCACGGCCCTAATTCTGAGGTCGAGTTTAATCTGGAAGATGGAGGGATTTGGCAACAGTGCAGAGAAACCGAAATGGTCCATATGGTCTGACTCCCAGTCGGAAATGTTAAACTTTGCTGTGGCAGATTCCAAATAAACGCCTCCATAAGGGAGTAGTCTTATTGTGTGACAATGGCACGTTTTATCAGTCCATATCGGCATAATATTTCGATCTTACTGTCAATTTCGTAAGACTGTTTCAATACATCTGCCAGGACGACAGCAGAAATCACTCTTGACTAATGAAAATATCGACAGGGGTATTTACCGTCCCCAGAAAGATTGATATAAGCTGATCTCGCATTTTTATAGCACTACATAAGAAAGTAGTGTGAGATGTCTCTTGCATATTTAATGAGACTAGTCAATGAAATGAGACACAAGTCTGTATTTTTGATTCAAATGGAGTGACAATTTGTAGAATTGTACGAGATGATTTACGTGAATCATTCAAACAGTTGTAGCCTAAGGCGAATACTGTCAGCATCCCCACAAGAAAAGCGGATCACGCTCCATAAACCCTCGGATGTGCCCATCACTCACCAACGCGAATTTTAAAATTGTTGAAGGAATGTTCGTTGACGTAGGCGAGTTGCTCCCGTAACCTCAGGGCGTAGTCGGCCATGGCTGTGACGTGACGGAAGTTCTTCAGGTCGCACGTGGCCTCGGTCAAACCTGAAAACGAACAAAAACAGCCAATATGTTGATGAAATCAGCGTCTGTCACCTAAGAGCATGTCATCGGGCGTCAATCAAGAAGTTGCATTCCATTGAGCTAGGTGCCCCAATTCGCTGCACCAAACACGAATCCCATCCCGAAATGGAAACACCCTCAGCTGTTTGTTTTTCAATAGAAAAATACAATTCTAAAGAATAGTGTTTGTCTAATGAAGAAACAACCTTCGAGTACCTCATGTTAAAACATTGCCAAAAAAAAAATGCATTGACTTGAGAGGTGCACAACCTAAACTTATGCCACTTAATCGTTGTATTTAGGAACTGAACTGCAAAACACGCCACCATTCCACTAGAAACAATCGGAGAGAGAGGCTCTTGAATTGAAGTTAAGGCTGAAATGGTCAGGCAAAGTGCCTTTATTTCTTGGTGATAGCCAAACAGTGACTATTTAACGAGACTCGATAACAGAGCCCCGTGATTTGAGACCTAACGAGTGACTGAAGAGACAGCCCGACTCGGAAATGGCTCCAAGAATATACCACTGAACGGCGACTGAAGAATTTATGTCTGTGCCAAGCTATTGCACTGTCGTTTCTAGATAATACAATATATTAGCATTAGCTTATGATGCAACCACTTCTTAAAATCACTTCACTTCTTTAATTCACATATGAACCTACATAAACATACTTTCCTCATCTAGCAACTGATGCATTTTTTGGTAGGCCATGTCCTAGCTGTCTCCAGGGAACCGAAACGTTTTCTCACCCGACGCCGCCATGTAGGTGGATCCTGTCGATTTGATTTTCTCCACGTATCTGAAGCGCTCCTCTCCGAGCAGTTCGTCGAAGTCGGCGATTATTTCGTTCAGCAGGCGCAGACACTCGACACCCTCGTTGTTGCCCTCGAGCTCGACATAGAACTCGGAGAAGTTGGGGATGGAGGCGAACATGATGCAGACCGAGTCGCACTGCTGGTGGTATAGCTCCTGCCGGTGACAGCGGACACAGGCGAGAGGTGAAAAAATGTGACATTGGTGACGGTGCTAGAGGTGACAGTCATGGTAAGAGGTGAGAGAGGTGACAGGTGACAGAGGTGACTGGTAGTGACAACGCTGACAGTGGTGACACGGATGGATGCCATGGACAGAACCAATTGCACAGTATTACAGCTTCTTCAAGCCATAATCTCAAAAATATTCACCGGTTAATTCATATTTCTATTTGTTTCACATTTACGCTGTGTTTTTTCTCTTTCAGATTTGCATTTGCTGCGGCAGTATGTAATAACTTACGTCTCCCTTTTCGCCGGACATGAAGTAGTCTGCCACGTGCACCGGTAGGATGTTGGCCAGCAGTTTCCGGTTGTAGGCCTGCAGGTGCTCCATCTCTTCCTTTTCCTCTGTCGGAGTCACAGCAGATGACGTGCATTTGTCAGGCGACATGCGACGTCAGAAACGCGACGCTATCGTAGCATACATCATAACACCATGGCTGGTAGGTTATACGTCTGAGGTCAATGGCAATAATCGTAAAATTATACCCACAAAGAAATAATGAAATAACGCCCCCAGATTCACCAATAAATTTCCTTTGCTAGCATCAAGCTTAAAAACATGGGTTGCGATTAAATCATTCCGATGTAGTAACTTCCCACAAATTAGCTTGCGCCAACAACTTTTGGTAGCTGGAACTTGGAAGAGATGTGCTACTGATGCAGAGTTATCGCCAATATAAAGCACAAGGAAGATGCCCTTGTGTCAATGATAAGACACAGATTTCGTTTCCAGCTAAGCGCACCGGTGGCCTGCAGTTTCCAGAGGAAGTCGAGCCGCGACGTGGCCTCCGTCTGCCGGCCGTGTACCACCAGTGACGACAGAAACGTGCCCATGATGATGATGGTGACGTAGCGGGCTGATGTCACTGCGTCACCGTCGCCCAAGCTGGAGGGAAGAAGAGGGAGTGTCACTTCAAGCTGGGAAAGGAACCCCGAACGGAACACAGATATGATTGAATGACGGGACAGGTGATCAAAAGTTACGATCGGTTCGGCTGACATCAAAATGGAAAATATGCAAAAGAAACAAACTAAGAGAAGAAAGAAAAGTGTGATACCATTTCTGATCCTCCTCTCCCATCCCCTTCCCTCCTCTCCTCCCCTCCCTTCCCCTCCCCTCCCCTCCCCGTCCGTACCCGGTCAGTGTAGCGCTGTACAGCGCCGGCCGGTACAGCAGCACCACGGCCAGGTAGGAGGCGCAGATCACCAGCAGGGTGCACATCTTCAGCAGCGAGGTCACCTGCTGGAACACTGCGCACGAGATCATGGCCAGGATGACGCTGAACGTGACGAACTGAAACAGAACCGGGCACCGGCGCCGTCGCCGTGTCAGACGCAGCCGAGCTTCGGACGAGATGTGGAAATCGGTACCTTAGAGCGTCTTTCATTTCATTTGAATATCTATATTTACTGCCGGCATCCGAGTTCTAATCCCAATGTTCATCCGACAGTGCAGTTCGTTATTAACCCGCCTGTGAACCAATGAGTTTTTTTTTTATCGTTCGATTCATAAGCTGTGTCATACACTAACCGAGCTACCAGTCAGCATCATTTGGGAGATGGGACGAATAGATCGTTTCGCTCTCTGAATCACCTTCTGTCATGGTCGAATAACAAGAAACGTGTGATCAAATGTAATGGTGTAAATGTGCGCAGTAAAACTTAACCTAAGAGAGCATAAACCTGTGAACCAATGAGTTTTTTTTATCGTTCGAGTCATAAGTTGTGTCAAACACTAGCCAATCTACCAGTCCGCATCTTTTGGGAGATGGGACGTATGGATCGTTTCGCTCTCTGAATCACCTTCCGTCATGGTCGAGTAACAAGAAACGTGTGATCAAATGTTATGGTGTAAATATGCTATACAGACCAAGTACTTTAACGAGCTTTCTGCCAAGTTTTAAGCGGATCATTCTTAGGTGTTGTTTTTATCCGCTGGGACTGAGAGCGTGTAAATATGCGCAGTAAAACTTAACCTAAGAGAGCATAAACCCCTTCTCTGGCTTACAGACCATCATCCTTCATCAGAGTCTTTGCAGTGCTTACTTATTGATGCATATCCATCAGTAAGTCCACGTGCTTTGGATATTGGATATGCACGCTAGGCAATAGGCTGCTGAGAAAATTGTGTGTTTGATTTGGACAATGGCGAAATACCTATGTATCAGATAAAACAATTCTGCGATCGTCACCGTCTGATGCAGCCTGTCGGTCATGCATGCAGTGGTTTACATTTGATGCCTCGCATGTTGCAGTTCAATACTTGGGCTGTTACGCATAAGCGGAGCAGTAACTCGATCTGCTGCCAATAGATGGCACTAGTGGTGAGCGCCTGAACGTATGCTGTACCGCATGCCCTGAAACTGGCTCCGCCGTGATAGCGTGAATTTTACGCAAATAAAAAAGCGGCCTAGCGCACGGCTAGGTATATAAGCATGCGGATAAGTATCCAATGACAAACACTGAATCAACTAGCCACTAAGCAGGCCGTGAGATACTCTGAGTACTATCTGATCATATTTTGAAATTTCTCTGTGACGTAAATATCCTTAGTCATTTTAACTTGCCGATTGACGACCGCCGTTCAATATCAGGTGTGTTTGAGTAACTCCCTAACTGAGCCTAAGAGGTCGCCAACTAATTTCCGAACTGACTCCTTGTAACGCCGAACAACGCTGGGCTTGAGCATCAGCATTAGAGTTCAAATAACTCATTAAATATCGTCGGTGTGCAGGCAAACGGGATTTCACCGGTGAGCAGCGACCGGCGCTCGTATATTAGACGTGACTTGCATGATGTACCGGGGTTCTGCTCTTGTGAATCCCTCCATTCAAAAGGTTCGGACTAAATTTATAAAAAGAAAATGTCGTACCAAACGCGACGTCCTGATGTGGACTTTCGTTGGACGAGCAGTCTTATTTCATTTTTCAGATGTCCTATGCAGTTGTATTTGGTAAAAAAGGACATATCAGCACAAACACCGAAGGGTTTACTTAGCAGTTGAAACATTTGGAAATAAATTGTAATTATAGCTTTCATCCCTCTTCAACATGATCAGAATCCTCCGCAGTGAGAGTTGACATAATTCTAGACTTATTTTGCCAACCAATACATCTAGGGTGGCAGCTTACAGATGTCCATGATCCGCCATATTCGCTACACATGAAGAACACAAGAAGTGAAACCTCTTATCGATGAACGTCCAATGGAGTGAAGGCCAGATATGCATTGATGTGCCGAGTCCTATGAGGTGCTGCTTAAATCATTGACAACCAAAATCTCAAAAATTAAAATAGAAGCGGTTATAGTAATGGACTTCGTTTATTACTATTAATGATTTTCACATTTTTCATCCATTTCATCAACGTGTTCCAGTTATCGGCTCACAGTAACTAGTCCACCTACAAAGTGATGTTCGACTATCGCTTCGCCTCACTGCGCCACTGGCCTGCGAGAACCGCTCCCCGGCTGCCGATCACGTGACCGGCGGGTGGCCACGTGACCCAGTCGCCCGAGGCCATTGTTCGGACAGAGCGGCCCTCGGTCGCGGCGCGGCTCCCAACAGCGCCCTGACACATTATTGATGAGATTCGCGGAGATGTAGAGTGTGCTTACATTTCGGCGAACAGAAACGCAATGCAAGCGAGCGAGCCTGGATTCACGGAAACCGGCCCCATTGTCGAAACAGGCCTGGATTGCAATGGACCCCATTCAGAAGCGCATCCGTGAAACTGTTCAGTGATCCGCTTTCAGGGTTTGTTGACACATGCATAAAAATCTTGTTCTTGCGCAGTTATATGCTCATCTGATCATCTGGGCATATCCATTAGAGTGACGATAAACCATTCCTTATTTTTTGCGATAAAGAGGAATAAACATATCAATGGCTATCCAATTAATAAATACAGTTATGCCTTAGGTGCACATCAATGACGTCTGTGGTGCTTTTTATTTTGTTACTGTATTTCAATGTTTTTGTGCTTACTTTTTTTTCTTAAATACTGGATCTTCATAGAAAAGTGCCGCATTATCTCGCTACGCCGTGTTATGCGGTGATGGTGTTGCAAATCTTGTGTTGTTCTCAACGTATGCCGTGGTGCTGCAGACTTACCTCGGGGAAATAAATCTTGGATGCCGGCAGGCAGTCGGTCGGGACGACGCTTTGGCTGGTAGAGCTTATGACGTCATTGGACCGTGCCGTGGCGTCACTGGTCCGACCGAGGTCGTCCGCGATCACCGCCGACAGGTTGAGCATGGGGTTGTACTTGGTGGTTACGTTGGAACAGAACTTCAATGAACTTGAGTCGAAGACACACTGCCGGAAATTAAATAATTCAATCGAAAGATGGACTAACAAGTAGGTAAACAAGCATACACGTTACATAGGGGAAGTTGGGGGAACGCCGAATACTTTTTTTCTGACGCCCCTAGCACGCAAGCTAGACAACATAAGCTATTCTTGTTGGCGTCATTCGAGAGGCCAGTCTTTTGCCTTTCAAACATACCAGGCGCATTTGATGAATTCGCATACCGTTAAGCGCACAAACTAAAAATATCAAAGAAGTGACTTTTTCGGCGTTGCCCCGGACTGCGGGGAAAGCCGAAAATGGGAGAAATGATCTACGGGGAATGCCGACATTGATGTTCTGCCACTTTATCTCAAACTTTATCCATAATTTATCAAAGCTGACACGCGTTTTAAGAGCTTGAGGACGCTTGGTGCACACTGGAAGTTATAATTGTGTGATATAATAAGAAAATGCCAGGTAAATCATTCCTTATAGGTAACAGGCCGTTGTGTCGGTTGAAAGTGTAATTTGTGTGACTAAAAATTCGCGTTGCTATTCTACAGCAGTTAAGTCCACGTAGCGTGCTTTAACGTGCGTAATTGCACGTTTTCGGCATTACCCCAGCCAGCCATACTTTGATTTGCAGGCCCATAACTTTTCAACGTGCCGTATAAATTTCAAATAGGCAGCACACTTATGCAAAGACATGCTTAAGATTACTTGACCGAATTGGCCAGACAAACGGTAGCATAATGAGTAAGAAATGCAGCTTCAAAGGCGCATGTAGTACAAGGAACGCGTACCTTGAAAACGCTCTTGGCGCCCTCACAGCCGAAGTATTCCGTATGACTACTCGTAACAAACATGCGATAATTGTAGTCACTTAAGCTTCAGAGCATCACTGACAGGTGGCATCCATGTCTTACGGTTTTCGAAATATCTCGAATTTCGGCTTTGCCCCAACTCCGGCATTGCCCCAACTTCCCCTATTACACAGGGTTGCAGCGACTAACTTCCATTGGTGCCTATGGAAACATTAAAACAAATCTGAAAATAGCACTTAAATCATTTGCAGATAGACTATATCGCGAACTGGGTCACCCATTTCCAAGAGATGCTAGCTAATTATCGGCCTATTTAGCGCCAACTTTGGCCAGACATGGCGGAAGCATAAAACCAAGGCAAACATCAACTTAGGGCAGACTGCGGCATCAACGTCGGGAAACTGGCCGCGCTGGCTAATTTCGGCGGCCGAACTCAAGTTGTCGGCTGTTTCGCTAAAAAGAACACGAGAATCTCATCAAGCGCCCTGTTTATCAAACAACGAAAGCCAGCCTATTAACCCTCGCCGGCCGAGGGGGGGGGGCGGGTGCCGCCCCCCCCATAGGGTTTTTTCGCGATAGCTCCGAACACGCTGGCGATAGAGAGCTGAAACTTGGCATACCTGACCTTTGATCCAAGCCGGATCTTTTGACACCAACCGCATTTTTGGGTCAGGTCAGGTCACTGACCTATGACGTCATAAGTGAACCTCTGCACGGTCTTCAGATGTCGCAACTTCGCAACGCCCTCACTGCCAGAGGAGATGTCACAGGGAAATGAAACTTGCAGGATCTAGTATCCATTATGAGTCCCACAACTTGTATATCTCGGATTTTTCCTAAAGGTCATATGAGGTCAGGTCATTTTCGTGACCTCACCATTATAAGTCAATGGGGAAAAATGAAAACTGCTATTCTGGCGCCGGGAACGATCTCCAACTATCTCAAGCACACAGAATCGTGATTTGATGCACTCCTTGCAAGGTTAGATGCGTCACTTTTGCAATGTTGACCTTGCGTGACGTCATTTATGACGTCATCAAGGTCATATTAGTTTTTCGTCAATAACTCTTGATCAAATTGAGCTAGCGAGTCGGGAAAGCCACCAATGGACTCAGGAAGACCTGCCGAATCGAATGATATGCGACATGACCTCTTTCGACCAACTTCGTGACCTGGGGGTGCTGACCTGACCTTGACCTGAGGTCAACACCCCAAGTTGACCTGACCCGGACAAAAAGTATATCATTCGACGCGCCTGAGCGAGACGAACACGATGCTGCCAAAATCGGCGCTCTGCGGCCGTTTTTTGCGAAGTTATTCACCAAAAACTGAACCGTACCTTGGGGCACTTGACCTGACCTCAGAGGTCACCGGTTGACCTAGGACCTTAAAATTGGGTACCAATCTCTGCGTCTCGTAACGGCGCACACGCTCGTTTTTTCCGCGACGCGCTAGCTCCACCAGGGGCGAAACGGCGAGGGGGGGGGGTCGTACCCGCCCCCCCCCCCCTCGGCCGGCGCGTATGTAGAAAACCAATAGGTCCGGCGAGGGTTAACATATGACAACGGAAGCGAGATAGAATCCGACGACGACCGAAAATGAAAGGCTTTGGAAATTGGCTGTATCATCGGACCCAAACATAGCGCTAATGCAGAGTATGTAGAGGAGCAGCATCGGGTTTTATGTAAGCTGGCGATAACGATGATAATCTTCTATCACCGAGAGTCTTTGTTACGGCGAGAGCGTAAACTTGCAGCATTGTGCAGTGCAAACATACTGTAAAAGACGGCGTGACGACTCTCAACTCACCACGGGCAGTAACGAACACATTTAAACTAACCACGGGTAGCATTGCACACAGGTAGACTCACCACGGGCAGTATTGCACACAGATCTACTCACCACGGGCAGTATTGCCCACAGATCTACTCACCACGGGCAGTAGGTATCGCACACAGGTAGACTCACCACGGGCAGTATTGCACACAGATCTACTCACCACGGACAGTAATGCACATATAGACTCACCACGGGCAGTATTGCACACAGATAGGCTCACCACGGGCAGTATTGTACACGGGTATACTCACCACGGGCAGTATTGTACACGGGTATACTCACCACGGGCAGTATTGCACACAGATCTACTCACCACGGGCAGTATTGCACAAAGATAGACGGTGAAGACGACGAGCACGGACAGGCCCTGGGTGAGCACCCGCCGGTTCACCAGCTGGCCCGAGAGACGGCGCAGCAGCGACGGGCAGCACTGAAAACACACCAGCTCACTGTCACAAAGTGCACGGATATCAGCAGAGCTCACGGCTACATTGGGTAAGAAATCGTTATTATTTTTAGTTTTTACACTACAGTTTACAGCATAGTTAAGTTAACCTTGAGTTTTTTTCTGGTCAGAAATCATCTAACTTTTGACCCGATTTAATACAATATTTTATGCAAAACAAGAAATGCGATTAATGGTGAGCATTCGCAAATCACAAAGTAAAGGAAAACTACACCGAACACCATTTTCCTTATATCATGCACCGGATCCTTGGAAAGAGCAGTCGATAAATGAATGTGATATATCTGATAAAACTTTTGGCCTTCCCAACAACTAGCCATAGGGTGGTGATTGTTCTACAATTCTACATCCATCTGATTCATGTCACCCAGTAACAATATTCCCAGAGAGATATCATTGCTGCCGCAGATGCATTACGTTGATGTTTACCCGCCGGTGATTGATGCCATATAGCGTAAGGCGTCGGTAAATACTAATATTTGGATTCTTCTCTAAACATCCATTACGATACTTAACGGACAACGCAAGAGCTCATGAAGGTGGAAATAATATTGTGCCGGTTCCATAAGCTTTACTGAACACGGACAAAGAACGAAGCAAGAAAAACTGCTTGCATTATCAGCGAGCGTCCGCATCCATTTATGAGCCAGCGCTGATGTTTATGTTAGTTCGTAAGTTTCCATCAGTGTCGGAATATATTATTGCTCACTCAATGGGGCAGAATAGTGGTAATAGTTAATGGTGCATGATGGCGGATGTAGTGGTTTTGGTGGCAATAACTTAGTTGCAAACAGTACGTCATTGCAATGCCATTTAAGTTTTAGTTGCAAACCTATCCAGACTGTTTTTGAATGGAGGTACTATGCGGGCTGTATACCAAAAAGGACAATCGGCATCCCTCCCATCGCATTTCAATGGTGAAGAAGCGCAAACAATTGCATCACGTCGTCCCAAAGTGCGTCCCGTTCCTCTCCCAGACACGCACTCTGTCGGCGGCGGCGAATTGGAAGGGGAGCCCGCAGCCGCCGCTGGTCCGATCCATCAGACTCGCCGGCGGTAAACGGGAAAACGTGCGGCGTCGAGAGCGGCGTCCGCACGTCGTCGAGCGTCGTCGAGTGTCGTCCGTTTGTCGCCACTCTTCACAGGCTCGCGCTTGCAGCGCCCCACCACAGTCCAAAGCTGCTTCAGGAAAACTCCACCACTGTCCCACGCTACTTTTATATGTAGGGAGACGAGAACTACTGCAGTGCCAGGGTATGGTTTACATTGAAGGATTCTTGCAATGCTGTATTATTCTTGCACGTTAAGTAAACTATTTCTAGAACTAAATTTCATTGAAACATGCCTTTCTTTTGCTCCAGTGAACCACTTTATCACTATTTTTTTATGAAAACCAGCAGAACATAAGGATATAACAAAATTTGAAAATATGCTGACTAAAAATGAAATAATCTGCGCACCGGGGATGCTCACACAATTAATACATGTCAGACGCATACATGGTAAACGTGCATGTCGAAGCGCGCAATATCCACCAATGAACACTGCTTCCGACCGAGGTCAACGAGCTCGGGTGGGGTCACGTTCGTGAATGAACGAGCTCGGCAGAGGTCACGTTCGTGCGCCGAGCGAACCCGGAAGGGGGTGCGATTGTGCGGTCACGTCCGACCGGGTCGTCTGTGCGTCGGGGGGGCTGACCGCTGTGAGTGCGTGGGCCCTTGTGACCCGAACGCTGCCTTTACCTATAAAAAATGCCCCTTTACAGCGTCCTGTCCATGCGTAAGATGTCGATTAAATCTTTAATAATAACTTTGAAAGCGATTTGTCCCAAATCAGACCGAGCAAACAATCTCTCCTCTATCTGCTCGTATCTTCTCCTCTCTCTCTCTCTCTCTCTCTCTCTCTCTCTCTCTCTCTCTCTCTCTCTCTCTCTCTCTCTCTCTCTCTCTCTCTCTCCTCTCTCTCTCTCTCTCTCTCTCTCTCTCTCTCTCTCTCTCTCTCTCTCTCTCTCTCTCTCTCTCTCCTCGCGCCACACCTAAATTCATGGACGTATGAAACGCAGGGCATTTTAATTGCTTTGCAACTGAGTTTTTCCTAGCATCGCTTAACACAGCATTAGCAAAAAAATAGGTAGAAATATCAGGCCTATTCAGCATCGCAAGCTGGATGGTCAGAATAGCACGTGATCTTCAATGGCAGTGCGGTCATTGAGGACACCGGATCTTCAGAATGGAGGAACCATGCTCGCTGCAATGGCGGCTATTACGCGATCCTCGGAGGGGCCACCGCCCGCCTTTTTCGTAACTGCTGCCAGGTCACGGCCGCATGGTGACGTGCCTGTGACTTTAGCGGCTCCTCTAGAGATCGCAAGGGTCCCTATGAGGAAACCGCCAGGTTACTGTGAGGAGACCGTCAGGGTACCTGTGCGGAGACCGTCAGGGTCCCTGTGAGGAGGTCGTTCAGGTCCCTGTGAGGAGACCGTTAGGGTCCCTATCTGAGAGGATCACCAGGGCTCCCGAGACTCCAGTGTCTTCTCTACATAGAAGCCACCAAGACCCTCTATCGGATCGTCTGCGTCTGTTGTATGTGTGCCTTGTGTGTATAAAGCGATTGTGTGGGTCCATCAAATCATAGTGTCTACCTAATATTGCACCACAATTGAGAATGAACGATCTGGAAATTGCACATGAGTGGCGCTATCTAACATTCAAGATAATGTAATATCAGCTTCCAATCGGAAATCTGATCAGTTCGGAGTAACGGGGGCTGTGCGGGACTACCGACTGACCAATGATACACATTTGCTGACTTTTTACAGCGTGAATACCTATGTACAGCAACTCCTTTTTCCGTAAATTGTACAGAAAACGACGTCATCCAAGCGTAAGAAAACCACATACGCCGACATTACCGCAACAAATACCTACAGATCGACGAGACTAAACAGGGGTTGGATCACGGTCAGCTTGCCTGTTGACTTCTTACAGGCCAATTACCATAGTTACCTAAGGATCGACGATCAGTCCTCGCGTGTTCATTTTCTCACAAAGCGCACTGCGTAGATGGTTGCTCGTCAACAGGAGGAATAGTGTTGCGGATGTTCGGATGAAATTAACCAAGGCAATGATCATACTGATAAGTGGTATGTAATGGCACTGCTTCAGTCACTGACTGCGCAAACAATATTTGATGACTCATCCCCAATCTGCACCGGATTTTCCGTCTACGGCAAACGTGTATAAGATGTCTACAAATACAACGATTCTTGAATACATCACAGTTATGTAACGGAAAAGCGCTAACTGCTGATGAAAGTCACGGACGACTGGGCGTTGTATCACGACAAGGGCTCGTCATCTCGGTCCCCATTGACACATCGCCACCGCCTCTGGATAAATCAGCGGCCATTTGCGGAGCTCATCCCCAGCGGAAACTCGGCGGCAGCTAGCAACAGCCAGCGTCAATGGAGGCCGAGACCGACGATTCCGTTGTTTGCATAGAGCTGCACTGAATGCATAAATGCGAGTCTTGGAATGTCTGAGCATTGACAGAAGCGTCGTCCGGAGACAACCCTGATTCGTATAGGCACAGCGATTTCATCCTGATAATGTTCATAATGAACGGTGTCCAGATTTCGCTCGCTGAGCATGCGGCTCAGAGGCAAAGCCTCTCTTAATATGCGGCGCACTGTCACGTAATTCCTAACCCCCATCGATCTCTTGGGCATTGGGTGGGAGAATTTACTACATAAATTCAGCTCAAAGTTTTGCAGAGTACGGATTGGCGAAACCAGAGCTCGCTTAGGAGAATATGTTTTGTAAACCCTGCTTTTTACTATCCAATCGTGAAATTCCGGTTTGTAGGAATAAGGTATGCAGAGTTTAGTTCCTGTTAAAGTTTAGCAGCTCGTTTATTCAGCAAGCTCACGCAGACGGACACGAATGTTCCACTTAGCTGCCCACAGCTGTTCCCAACAACCGATAACCAGCCCTGTCAGGAGTATCACATATCGGGCATTTAGCAATTCGAACCCGGGTGAGTCTCGAGTGATCTTGTAGAACAGTTTGAACAGTTTTCCTCTTTCTCTCATTGAAATATAATGGTGAGGTCACGTGACCACCGTGACCTCTGTGACCCTTATAAACAATCATGAATATGTGAGTCGCTCAGGAACTTGGTACTTCTCCTCAATTACATATCCCTGCTATAGTGCTTAACGTTCCTTGAATAGTAAGGGCGTCGCGAACTAGCGACATTTTAGGACCATAGGTACAAACTCACTAGCGATGTCAGGTCAGTGACCTAGCCTGACCTAAACTGCGGTTAGTGTCACAAGATCTGGTTGGAATCAAAAGTAAGATATGCCAGCTTTCAAATCTTTATTCCTAACACGTTCTGAGTATTCGTGATACAAAATATGGGGGTCACCCTCTCCTCGACCTGGAGGAGGTAGGAGGGGGGGGGGGGGGGGTGGCGGCAGTTAGCTGAAGGTTATGGATAAATTATCAATAATTCACTTCAGTCTTACTCCTTTCAACCTTTGGTCACTGTCGGCTGTTGTAAATAATGGAAATCCAGCCTCAAAGAAGCATAGGACGACATTTGGGAGCTCAATAGCATAATTGTATGATTGGCGTCACATCTCAGCTCCGTCTTTCATATGAAAAAGCAGAACTTGTTGAACTTGTTGAGTGAAGCAGGGTCTCTAAAGGTCAGGTACAACAATCTCAACTAAGCGTTGGCTCTGGTTTCGTCCATTCGCCGATTAAAAGCACTTAAAAAGCTTGTATAATTTTACTGGGCTTATACTGTGCACTATATACATACTGTGCTTATACTACACTTGTACTATTATACCGTACTTGTGTAATTATAGATGCAAGATGTTTTAGTTTTATGCGCATCAACACTCCTAGTGCTGATGCTTTCAGTGCTGATACAAGATAACAGTGCATGAGTGGCATTGATATCATGCAGATCTTATCTTCTATGATGCTGAACTAGTTTAATGCTCTGAGAAGTGCATTATTAAAAGACAATACTACATTTGGACCTTTTTGGTTCTTTTGGTATTTGGAGCAATGTTGCCTAAATCAAACTCATTCACTTCTGTAATACTGGAAACGTCCATTCCTTTGACAACGGATGACCTTATTTTGTTTGTTAACATATCACGTCCGCTCACCAGTCGTCTGACAAAAGCTATAATGCTGTTCAAAAGAACCAGGCTGAAAGAACATTGATCAGCCAGAATGAATGTTGTTATCAGCTATGCACTCATATGAAACGAAATAGACAGCAACTTCTTATGTCAGGATAAAGTGACAAAATAACATCACACCGTATAAAAGCATTCGTCGTCCCTTGGCCCTAACGTGTGTGGAGCATGGCATGCTCACATTCGTTGAAAAACAGGGGAATTATTTGTCTAAGATCCAGCGTCAACGGCCACACTGTACAGTCTGTCTTAAAAGTACCGCGCAAAGCAACGGTGAATCCATTAAGCCTGACAGAGGAAGGGCCTGCTATAATTTGAAAGTCACCGAACCAATTGACCTGGGGAATGGACGAGGATGTCCATTGCTCCGGTGACTCAAATTCAGCAGTCCTTCCTCGGTCAGGCTTGTTGGATCCACCACACTTTGTGCGGTACTTTTAAGACTGACTGTATAGGAGCAAAATACGGCACGGCACACTGCAACATCTGTTAATGCTTGTGTGCTGCCACACGCTGTCATTTTGCATAAGTTTAGTTTTAGGTGGTGTTGCTGAAGTTTTGCTGAAAGAAGCAAACCCAATTTTAGAGCGCATTAGGAAAAAGCATGTCATAGACTTCTCAATATCAGTAGTAATACAGTAGTCTATGACTATGAAGGTAAATATTAGATTCGGTATATGCTTTCTGGAAATAATGCATGGCGGTAAAAATGACTGGGACCCGAGGAGCACGTAACGGAAATGTATTTGGAATACAAAGGTTTGAAGCTGGCAATTTTCACGATTCAGCCCCTGCACCGCAGGTGATTTGTCCCTGTCTCCTAAATAATTACTGTTTCTGCCACACGGACCGCATGTGTCCATCAAGAACTGTCTGCGCATCTGAAATATGGCCCTATCCCCGGGCTGTAGGTCAAAGGCACGAAATAGGCATGGTCCGACACCCTCAGTACATATGTTAGTGTGGCAGTTAGGCACGGTCAGCCAGGCTGTGATGATAGGCACGGTCCGTTAGGCCAGGCTGTGATGGTATAACTCACCTTCCAGTTTTCTGCTACGACCAGGTAGGCAGCGCTGATGATGAGAAAACCGCCCACGAAAAATGACGCGAGAGTGAAGAAATTCCTGCGGAAATATGTTGGTGCAATTGGGAGCTGGTCGAAAAACGCAGCAGTATTTTATGACGAAAAAGAATGCACAGAGTGTTGCACCTAGGCAGTGTCAAACAATCACTTTGTTGTAGAATAGGATTTGCTCTTTCTCTTATCATCAACGTTGTCTACATTATGCAAACAAACCAATAATCGTGATACAACTCTCTCAAACACACAGTTCGGCATTTGGGGAAACCCTCATGAAGAGAGCTGGTACGTAATGCAATGTTATGCGGAGGGGAGCTTAGTGACCTGATCGGCTTACCGACTATGCTAAGTAAAGTGGGTGCACGATCATGAGCGGTGATGGAACATTCCCAAACCGCGACTGAGCAGCAACCGAGAAGAAACACTCACTGTGGCACGGCGATGAGTTGAACAGCTACGATGAATCCGAAGATGATAAATGCGCTTACAAAGTAGACGGGCAAAAGCTTGTCGCGTTTTATCGAATACTGAAAACAGAGAATCCGACTGTCATCCAACTTATAAAATTTTAGTCTTTAAATACTCATGCTTACATTATTGACGCATTAAAATCACAATTGTGCCGCAGTGCATGGACAAAACATTTTTTAAACCCTTAGCGATCACACTATAACCATGAAAACTCAATTTGAGTTATTTTTGGTATGAGAATATAGGCTCCTGCAGGCTGCAGCAACCAAAACATGTAGAGTGAAGCATTATCGCGGCGCATTGGACCCTCTCCCCGTGCAGACACCCGTTTCCGGCGCGTCTGTCGGCGCCCACCTTCTGCTCGATGTGTGGTGAGTTGAAGGTGAGCAGCAGTCTCCGACAGTGCTGGTTTCGCAGCCTGTCGATGCTGCGGGCGTCTATGGCTCTGGCCAGGTAGTCGTCCACTTCTTCAGCCGTCGTCTTTTTCTCCGAGCCCGGCAGAAGGCGGCTGACAACAGAGACAGTGGGCGTCAGTAACAACGCTTAACAACGGTAAAAAGGGGCGACAGAAGCAAGAGCTGACAGCAGCAACAGTGGGCGTCAGCTGCTACGACTGACAACAGGACCGGTGCACGGTGGAAAACCGTAGAATACTGTAGTTCGTTCAGTCCGGTGAATGCAGTATTGTTTCATGCAGAAATACACAGGGGAGGACAGCACATCATCTGACGCGGACCTGTGCTTAGCTGAGTGTGCAATCAAGTTATCCAGACACGGATATTTGCTGAAAAGTAGTGTCAGTAGACTTCCCTAGCCTGCATCTGAATACAGAGGTGGCTACTCGATCCAATCAATTGTGGCGCTTTGAGGCGCGAGCGAGGCTCAGGCGGCATAGAAGGCACGATGCGGCGCGAGCGGCGCCTGGCTCGTTCACCTGAAAGCTTTGACGCCTTTTGACCGGAGTTGGCTAGGGGACCGAAATTCACAAACCACAGGCAAAGATGCCTTTCAATTTGACTAGTTTGTCGCAGGTCTGACGCCACAAACAGCAAATTAAGACCCGAGATATCAAAGCGAAGCATGGAAGAAAGCGACAATAAACCACTTCGCCACGACCGGGTAAATAGGGTGAAAATATCTTAAGTCCGCCGCCTGCATTCAATCGTATATAATAGTAATTTATAAATGTATGTTAGGCGAAAGCCCCAACAAGAACTTCTGGCGTGAATGTGTGGTGTTGGCAGCAGACGCCTGGGAAAAACCACGGGCACAACAGTGTCACATTAGCCCTCTCTGGGTGGCACAGAGCCTCCTTTCTGCTGCGGCCTACGCCGGCTCCGAGGAGGGACGCGCCCTATTAGAGACAGAGAGCTACCTCCAGTCAGGCCAGTCTCCGGAGACCGGGGACACAACGCGCTCGTCTCCGCCCCAGAGGTGTGCCGCCTCCTCTCCGCGGGGGGCGACGCGACGAGCGACGACGCCCGATCGTCGGACGCGACGCGCCGAGATATCATTCCCGGGGGAAACGCCGACCTACTGGAAGAAAAAAATCCAGGCGTCTTGCCCAGGCGGTCGGAGGTGAGGGAAGCGGAGGTCTGGCACCGGGCCAGGGCGGCGCTGGCCGGCCGGCCGCGGATGAGCGCGGTCCGGGCCCGTCTGCTGGTCCGGGGCCGGCCACTGACGCTGCTGGGGGGCGGTCCGACACGGGTCCGGTCTGGATGAATGGCCGGCGGAGACGGCGGGCGCCGCCGGTTACGGAGCGCGAGCCGCGCCGCTCTGCCGAGCGCTCCCCTCTGGCGACACTGCCTCCATCGATCGCTGGACGGTGGCCGGCCGGACTGACCACTCGCGACGGACGGACACCCCGGCAGAGGAACGCGCACGGAGCGCAAACTATGCACCGATGGCGGCAGACTTCCCAACAACGCAAAGGACGAGATGGAAACTTTGGTTCGCGGTCACTATGGATAAGTTTCACATAGTAACAGTCAACTCTCAAGGTCACAGCGGCTGATGACTCCCGACGTTGTCACTGAACGGGAGGACAAGCGAAATGAAAACGTGAACAATTACCACATATACTAGTACATATAAGTAACAAACTAAACCCCATGCTCAGACCCAAAATTGTGGATTGTAACCGAAACATCGCTTATAATGTAACCCCTAGGTATGTCTAGCAAATAGCCCCAACATTGCACGCTCAATTTCTCCTGATACCTGCTGACCTAACAGGATCTAAACCTGGTAAAAAAGACACGAATGGCTTCCTTTCTACTTTATGTAATAACCAACGTTTTCTAGCGCAGCTGAATGTAGTACAGTCTTGTACTTTGACCTAGGAATATGCTGGAAAGCAGCAGGCCTTTGATAAACAACTTAAATGTAATTATCATGTAGTGAACAACCCCCAATAGATGCTTTCTTCTAGCAATGACAGACTGCCAGCTATAGATACTAAAGTCGCTTACGCCGCTGCAATGCCACACATAAATCTTAACAAACGTTAGCAATAAAACTGGATCTGACGAGTCAGAGTAACTGCTTCATTGAACAGTCGTAAAGCAATTCATCTTAATGACAAAAAGAATACAGTAGTTTCTAGAAGCACGCATGTGAACAGGATATGATGAGAATGGCAGTTAACAAACGGAAAATAGACTCCTGCTTAAGACATCCGGGAAGATGAAATGTGCTTTACTAGACTACCATTAATATTAAAATTGTGCACATTTGTTAGCCTTCTCTGCAGGTTCTTGGATATTGGATAGCGTTGTTTTTAATTAGGCAGATACGTAAATTTGGTTCGATTTACGACGATATGTAACTTTGTATTGGAAGCCACTTAACTAAGCATGTGCTTGCTGGTTGCGCAATGTGGGTAAAGTGCTCCTATTTCGACCTGCCAGATCATGGTCGTCAGGAAGGTACGGAACTCATTAATTAACTGAATTTCTAATATCTTCAAGCTAATTTTTAATTTATATCAAAGCGAAGAGTCATCTATCGCAGACAATTTAATAAGCAGATCAATTTTACGATCGGATTTGGAACTGGGCATCGGTTGTAAGACCGTGAGTGATGTTTATTCACTTGATTTAGGCACTTGAGGTCAATTAAGCTTGTCCGTGAATAGAAAACAATTATGTCATGAACATTTGACAAGCTCTTATTGGAAGGCCGGAGATGGTTCGGGCTGTTCTGTAATTATAGATAATCCAACGCTGCAGTAATCACCGTACTTACTTTTGGTGCATGTGACCTGCGGCGTAGCCCATGGTTCTAAGCTCCTTGGACACTGTGCCGTTTGCCCCCGACTTCCTCTCTTTGGACTGAAAGCACAGAGGGAAGTCAAGTCAGTAGACATAGCCAATCATTATAACGGAATTGATGTTGAACACTTATAAAAGCACAAATTGAGCTACTACATTTCAGCTCATTTCTGTGTTCTCTCCTGGCAAATTATTCGCAACAGTAACGGAGTCTCTATGAATTGATTGTCGATTGAGTCATCAAATGCGATACAGCCTGGCATTTATTCTAAGGACAGGCCAAGGAACTATTTTTGTCAGCCCATTCCAGCCGTAACAAAGATGTGAAACATGACCTTATACTATCTTTTTTATAACGAAGAAGGTAACGCGTTGTCAAATGTTTGAGTTTCTGATCCTGTTTCTGATGGACCACGATATATAGTGATATATGTCTAGACAAATTTTCAAGACAATGTTTTCCTGCGTGATGCAATGATCTAGTGCACCAGTCTATACCAATGTATAAAACTGCCCTCTAGCATGCTCCGTCGAATCGCCACTGAGTAATGCAGACGCAGGAAGCCTTCCACACGCCCGGTTGCTGTCCACACAGAGGCTGCAGCGACGTGACAGAACGTCTGTCCACCAGAGGACACATGCGCTGCAAACGCATGTAAGTGCCTACAACTCATCCCGCGCCGCCCCGTCCGGATCGATACATGAAGTGGTGCACCACCGATCACAATTGACCGGCTGTCCGGCAATATGGGTGTCTGACTGTCCGTTGAAGAGCGCTGCGCCGCTCCTGAGCCCCTCCCGGACCTAACACCCGCGCGCCGCACCGCTCCTCCTGAGCTCCTCCCGGACCTAACACCCGCGCACCGCACCGCCATGAGCGGCTCCATAACGGACACCCGTGGGGAGGGAGGGAGTTGGATGGACCGCGATTTCAAGATCATGTTATCGAGCAGTCCTTTCAAAATTTGAATCAAAATGGGTTGACTGAGGAATGACCTATGATTGCTTCGTGTTGACCAAAAAAGGAATTATATCGTTTAACCTGCACTAACCCCAAGATCCTCGTCTTCCTGATGTGGTGAACAAAATGAGTGTAACATTTTTATTAGGAATTCAAAGCGTTCAGACACAGCTCGTCACACTTTGTGAACAAAGTTATATCTGGTGGAGCGGCATCAATGCTTTTATAGTTTTAAAGGTTTTGAATCTTCGCGTCATCACGCCTGATGTTCTCGGAAATACCAGCTCCCAGATTAGGTTTTGAACGCAGAGTAAAAACTGCTTCTGGCAAATAATGAATATGAACACAGCCTTAGAACAAATTTAGCAGTTTCCAAGAACCCAGTGTCGTCCCCAGGACATCTGAATATAATATTCATCGCGAGTCTGTGGCAGACTCGGTGCCGACGTGTCTGCCTAATCCCGCCGCTCGGGCTGCGGCACGTTTTGCCGCGAGTGCTGGCAGACCCTGCCACCCGATGGGCCACTCTCCAAACGTCCCCGAGAGCGCCTGTTTTATTCATAGAGCGTCTCTCAGCCAATGCCTAATAAGAAGCAGCGCCGCGGGGAGCATGGGCCGCCCGCGCGCGGACCAAAAGTGTTTCCAGGGTGCGACCGACCTCTGGTGTGGGTGCGGTTGGCTTCCTGGGCAAGAAAGGATCAGGGGAGATGCCTTTTTGTAGCAACAAACAGCGAACTATGGTGATAAGCTTCGGAGAAAAAGTGTCGCTCACTGGAGCTGGGAAGGGGGCTGGTAGGGCTGGGAAAGAGGGAGGGTAATCAATGGAGCTTGGGAAGGGTTAGAGGTGGTAGATGTCTTCATAGGTTACTAGACAGAACTAGAAGACGTGTTCTGAGGAGCTGGTAAGGTGCATGTTATGAGGCAGAGCTGGGTTGCGTTCTGATGTATGCAAGCTGATGTTGTGTTGATGCTGAGGCACAGCTCAGAGATATGTGGCTGTTGAGGCAGAGCTGCAGAAGATATGTGGCTATTGAGGCAGAGCTGGGAGATGTGTTGCTGCTGAGGCAGAGCTGGGAAATGTGCTGCTGCTGAGGCAGAGCGGCCGCGGAGGGTGATGATGTATGCCGACCATCTCTCAGCAGAAGGCTGCGGGCGGCTGCCGCGCGCCAACTGGATGAAGCGTCCCGGGTCGATCCGCTCCCGGTAGCAGAACGATGTCTCCGTAACGAAATATCGACGCGGCGTGTCGGCCGCCGACCCGGCGCGAGAGAGGCGGGATTACGACCATTTCCTGGTAGTCCACTTTACGGCGATGAGTTTCGTAAACTCATCGAAACATGTCCTGAATGAGTTTGTCTCTCTTCCTCAGTCTTAAAATGTATCGACAGGTGGGATGAGATTGGCATGGCTTCCAGGTAGCTGCTAAGAGGTAGCACATTTTAATCTGTGTTTCTTATAAGACTGCACAAAGTAGGTGGAAATATGTGATTACTTTTGCTCAAAAGAAACACAAGATGTCTTCATTCTTTTTTCTTTCTTTTTTCGTACACCCAGGTAAGCGATTCATTTTGACAGAGAAGTTAACGGTAAAATACGGTTTTGTCATCTTTGAGACGCATTCCAGACCACCTTATGTAATTTTTAACATACAAATTTAGTTTATTGGTTGAGGTGTTCATTGACTCCATTCAGCACCATTGTATTTTTTTTTTTTTTAGCTTCATGATACGCGTTTGTTGTTGAAATGGCCTAAGCACTCAAACAGTTGCATAACATTTGTAAAGCAGGCACGAAGATGATCCAAGGAATCAGCTTCGATAGAAATCCATGATATGAGTTCAAAAAGTTAAGTTTCATATGATAGCCATATTGAATGCAATATAGTGATTCAATGTACACCACCAGGTAATACTTGATAGCCTAGGTGTCTGAGATGGCGGTCTGATTTGTTAGTGGTCGGTGGGAGTTTCGATGTTTTGCTGAATGAACAAGAGTGTGCATAAACAAGGCAAAAACCTTCAACAACGGCGCTTTAACCACCACAAACAGGGGAATAAAAGCCTTCCTGTTGTATCTTAGTTTACAACAAGTCAACAACCGCCTTTTCATCTTTTTTGGGGAAGCTGGGTGCCGTGAAATAAAGAGGGAGTTGTGTGTAATTTAGTCAAACCTTCATACCTACAGTGATTCAAGGGGCCTCAGCACAGTCAATTATTTCTCGAAATACACAGCTCCGTCCAAACAAGCAGAGTGAAGTCACGCAATGACGCATTCGACAATGCTATCCAATCACTGCTGCGCTGTATCTTTCCTTCAATTCAGTTCCTCGCGATGTTCCCTGCCAGAGCCACCATACATCACCGTTTTGCCATTTCAGCACTCATAAGTCATGTCATCTAGTACCCTTCGTCAAAGTTACCCAATAAATCGCTGAATGCCTCGCAATATGATATTGACTGTTAATCAATAAGCTACAAATTGCAACTCAAGCTATTTTCATCTTTGATTTGTGGCAAATCTCAGTGTATATAAATGATGTAATTCCGGCACATCACGTCACTGTCTTGCGAGATCTTGAAAAATGCTAGTAAGAAAGACATTTGAAAGGAAAACCCCGGACTAGTAATGGAAAATTGCATTCTATGGGACTGCCAACAAACTTGCAGCACAGTTTCAATCATGGATGGAGTGGTGTCAATCACACATTCCTCACATTCGATGAATATTGTGCCGGGAAGTCAACTAGCGAAAAACTTTCAGACCGTCCAGTTTCGACATTTTTTTCGCATTGTGCCACAATCTACCTTCTCACTATTTGCTATGGTTTGGTTGGTATTTCATCGTTTGGTATCGGTTGGTTGTTATTTCACCGTCTGATATCGATGGGCATCGAAGGGTGTCTCACCGTCTGTTATCGGTGAATATCGATAGGTCCATCCACCGTCTGGCATCGATTAGTATCGATAGGTATCTCACCGTTTGGTATCGGTTGGCCTCGTCGGCGATGATGAGGAACGTTTCGACACTGTGCTGACGCAGGTAGGCATCCCGCTGCCGTCCGTTGCCCGGCTCCACGCTGTAAGCCCCGTTCAGACAGTCCAGCGTCTCTTTGGTAATGTGGATTCGTCTGGAAAACGAAAGGGCGGGTCAATAAGAGAGCTTTTGAAACGGGATGACTGACAACGCAAACGTTAGTGTGTAAATGCCAAGTGGTGAAAACATCTGGCGTTTCTTTTAATAAGCAAATGCTTGATGGTTAACAAATTATTAAAACAAAAGGACAGTGGACATGGTTCAACAATTAACAACGTAGCGTAATGAGTTCGCAGGGTCGGAGCGTGAACAGTTTGCAGCCATTGTGTCTCCCATTCCGCCTATTCATTTCAGAGTGTCGAAATGTCCGGCGATAATAGCAACAGGGGACTGCATTCTTATTCTGCTGGCATGCTGTTTGAAGAGCACCATCGTACTAAATTGGCTCATCTGTGCTGCACGATCGCTGACGACCACTTTTCTGATGACTATACGACGCCGGCCCATTCTACGAGTACCTTTTCCATCCGAAACGAGCCGGACGACGCGGAGTGGTAAAGTAATTTTGACGGCGCGGCGCCCGTCTCTGAGAGGGTAGACTAGCCCGCCCAGCACGACGGTACGGCGGGTCAGCCTACCTCACAGGCACGGAACGTTGCAGCGTCCGCCGGGCTGATGGAACGCAGCGGCCATGGGGTGGAAATACACAGCGGTTTTCTTTCCAGCCTGCTTTTTACTTGGAACTTATAATTCTGGACAAGAAGGTAAACGTTCAAAGAATTTATAATACATTGATTGCATTTGTCAGTGGCATACGAGTTGAAGAGACGTTTGACATGGAAACAAAATTATAAATTGCAATCACTTATGAGTAAAGCACCTTTCTTACATCCTTGCAATCAATTAATTTCATCTATATTCGAGCAAATTCATTCACGCAGATGATGGAACTGCCATTTTATGAGACTTCCTAGGCATAATTCACAAAGATAAACGTTACTCTACCGCAGATGACAACGCTGCCACTAACTGCACGTCAGTCCCCCTATTCGACCACATCAGATCACGTGGCCTGTGCCTAGCTCACCCAAGGGTGTAAGGGCGCGCTATTGACGTGCCGTTTTCAGGTTCGCAGAAACACCCAAACACTCCAATGTAGACACCAATTAGATCGCGTTCAGCGAACGATTCAATTACAGCGGCAGCCAGCCATCGGGAATCGACCGACCAATTTATCCTGTTCTGGGTAAGCCCTGTGCCGACTGTCGCCGTATCCCAGAGTGATGCCGCTGGAAGGCTACATGAAACTGGCGAAACTCTGCAACCACTACAGCTATTAACTTCGCGGTGATTCAGCATTGCAACGACGTCAAATATCGCAGATTAATTAAAAATCGAGGAGTTTGATTGCTGATGACGGAGGTAAGACGTTTGAAACGTCCATAATGACTTTCAAGTGCGCTGTGGGTTCGGTTGAAAGCCAGTCTGCTTCTGCAATTTCGTGAACGTCTGCCTGAGTCAAAATAATGAAATAAAATCGAGAGTTGACATGCGTTGCTAGCCTTTTCTGTATAAGATATCATTCCCATTACTTGAGGTTGATATTGATAGTCTGGGCTTTATAATACATCGTCTTAAAAAATCGCATGCAGTTTACTTATTTTTACGATCGCCGATTCCCTTCTCTCGGCTTTTAAGGCCTCACAGTGAACTGTATGCCCCCGGGTCGCTCCGCCGTGGCCACACACGCGTCCGCCGCCTCGGCCGTCTGACCTCCCCCTCCCCTCCCCGACAACCAATCAGCGGAGCTCATACATCAAGTCGCGGGCGACAGTCGCCACACTGTTATCTGACCTTAGCTGCTCGGTCAGGACAGTTTGCGAGACGGCCGGGGTATGGCGGGTGGGGGAGCGGGGGAGGGGGAGAGAGAGGCGCGCGGAAACCGCGGCGGTGATAGCAGCGGTGACGTTGGGAACAAGGCCCTACGGTGGGAAATGGTGACAATGCTTGACACATGAAGATGCATTTCATTCATTATATGTGCATTTAATTTGAGCGAATATTCAGATTTTTCTTACACATCATAGACTTGGCTAATTCCTACACATAATTCAACCACGATAAATTTATATTGTTCGGCGTTGAAACCATCTCTAGTGAAGAGCCCGCCGTAACACGATAGCTCAGAGAAAGTTAGAAGGGTTATATCGACTTACTGGCGGTAAAGTGGCTTAACATTTGATCATTTCACCAATAATTTTCAAGCATACCAGACACAGTTTGCACTGAGGCTGCGAGTAAATAATCGATAATTTCATGTGCTGTGAGTGTCTGTCACTGTTTAGAGAAGAGATACCCCAGATATTTCCAATATTGCTTGATACTGAAGAATGTTGGGCCAAATGTGTGGCTTTCCGAGCAGCTTAAATATATGGATCGATGGGCTGTTGCTAAACTTGATAGGAGCATTTGCTTCTTTCGTGATAATGAATCGCAATATGATGACGGTGGACTCCATGATGCGACTTACCATGGTATGCTACTAGACCCCATGGTGTGACTTACCCCGTTATGTCGCTGGACCCCATGATGGGACTTACCCCGGTATGCCGCTGGACTCCATGTAGTTGGCCAGAGTCACGTCGTTGGACCAGACGTCAAACTGCCACTTCCTGAGTCCCAGGACGCCGCAGTGGACGCGGCCCGTGTGGATTCCGACCCGCATATCCACATTCACACCCGTCACCTCACGAACGAGCCTGTGGAAAGAGAACACGCGGCCCATTGCCAGTAATGACAGCAAATGGAGACAAACATCAGAGTAAAAACATATGTGAACACCGCATACACACAGAGAAACCGATACAACATCAAAGATTCATAGATGAAAGAGAGAGAGAGGGAGAGAGAGAGAGAGAGAGAGAGAGAGAGAGAGAGAGAGAGAGAGAGAGAGAGAGAGAGAGAGAGAGAGAGAGAGAGAGAGAAGAGAGAGAGAGAAAGAAAGAAAGAGAGAAAGAGAAAGAGAGAGAGAGAGAGAAAGAGAGAAAGAGAAAGAGAGAGAGAGAGAGAGAGAGAGAGAGAGGGAGAGAGAGAGAGAGAGAGAGAGAGAGAGAGAGAGAGAGAGAGAGAGAGAGAGAGAGAGAGAGAGAGGGAGATCTTAAATGAACGATTGTAGCTTATGAAGCAAATTAAATCTGTTAATCGCTTCAAAAAGCCACAAACCATAGACGAATGACCACAATGAACCAAATGAGCCCGTCGCTCACATTCACTTTGCTGACGGCTGAGTAATGTGCGTTTCGGTCGACTGGGGCGGCCCATTAAGTTAGCTTCTGACCAACGTGTCGGCCATGACGTCCCATTAGGTTACAGTTTGACCAATGTCACAGTCACTGGCCACAGTGCAGCGGCCCGCCGACATATGGCCCCGAATCGCGACAGCAATGGGCTGCGGTGACCGTGCGTGACGTAGTGGCGAGGGGGGGGGGGGGGGCTCTAGTTTGGCAGAGCGCCGGCAGAGTTTCTGATGTATTTCGGACCACCAATTGGTCGATTTCAGTGGTCACAACAATACACAGCAAAGTCAGTATAATTTAACGAGCTGTGTCCATGTAATTCGCCAATTGTGACGCAAGTAACATCTACGCGTGCGGGTGGCCCAATCCGTAATAAAAACATCTCGAACGCAGCTCAGGCTGTGAACATCGCACGGACAAGCTCTTCGGGGACGTTTGTGACGTCACCGGCCCAGCGAGTCACGTGCTAACAATGACGATGACGTCAGCGGCTGCTGTTTGGACAGAAGACGACAGTGTTCGCACGAGCTGGGCCCGGATGTCTCGCGAGCACTCGAGGAGGGCAGCTCGCTGGAACGGGCTGGTTTACGCTACATGTAGCTGAGAAGGATGCCTGCCTACCTTCTAGGAAATCCGCCGAACTAATGCATATGCATTGTACATGTAGGTTGCAGGAATATCTATGGTAAAGCAAGAAGCTTGAAAATTTTGTTACATCTAAAAAAATATGGCAGTATGCAAGCAAACTGAATCCATACCCCAACCACCCTCATGGATATTGATGATTCGAACACAACCCGACGTTGCTCGGTGCAAGTGCGAAGTCCATTCCCCTGGCACTGCAGGACCAGGTGTTGTGCCAGGCAGCTGCGCTCGGCAGTTGTCTGCAGTTAGCCTCTGCAGACCGGTCTAACTGCCAGGGGGTAAGGCTCGGCCCGCGCCACTCGATGAATAGATAATGGGGTGAACGGGGAATGGGAGGTGGCTGGAATTCGGCAGCGACTGGCGAGCCAGTATCGTTTGGAGAGGGGTTCGAAAGAACCGCAGGATCGGTACTAAAATCTGTAGGGCGGCACAGACGAAAGTGGAAAGTATTTTTATTAGTGCTAAAAATAATATCGGACCATCGGACCATTGCGTTTAGCCTTACCCCCATGTGGAAGCTGTCATTTGGTTGATTGTTTGTGGCTGTGCAATGGTAGAAACTATCCGTCTGCTGGTGGTCTACTAAGACTCAGTTAATTCTTAAAAACACTTCTTTGGTATTTATACTGACGTTGACCTGACATATGGTCGTAAGCCTCACGCTCGGCTGCAGTTTCTAAGCAAGCTTTTTAGGATTAAAGTGCCGATATAGCCGGATCGAAGGGCCCATATAGCCATTGTTTCGGCAGCTCTCACCTGAGATGAGATCCGGCCATAACACTTCACCTTCTCTAAATATACCTATCGAGGAACGAAAAACCCTAGCAACCACAGAATTAATACCATCAAAGCGAATGTGCCTTTTTGACATCGTTTGATGTCACTATCGTTTGCATCTATTCACTAGTGCTCTGGGCTGAAGCAAGAGAAATGTTACTTGGTAGGCAAACAATTACAAAGACGTTATGCGTATTGCATAACTGTGTCAGTGAGATGGAAAGGCTTTGTGCTGGCGAAGGGTACTTTGGTCAAAAGCCCAAGGGTAGTGATCTGCTTGGGTAGATATCTACCGATAAATATTTAAAATATTTCCGTCATACATAGGCCTACGGGCACGACTTGCGTAAAACTTTTTAAAAATGGTAATACATAGTTCTAAGAAAATATGATGACATCGACGATTATTACCTACTTCAGTGCAATGCATTTGAAAGCATTCCATCATAAGCTGCGGAATATACACAATACATTAATTAAAGGGAATGACGAAATAATTCCATAATAAGAAAAAAAAAACGCCAACGATTACCGTTTCCTTGTGTCTTTGTATTGTATTGTATTGTATTGTAATGTATTGTATTGTATTGTATTATATTGTATGTATTGTATTAAGTAGATCGTCTGCAGGCCATAGTGCCCAGTTACAGACGAAGTCAATAGTAATAAAAACGCTAAATGACAGTGATGATCATAAAATCACATTAGAAAAATATGCAGCTAGGTATGAATAATAAAAAAGTAAAAAAAAACATGATAAAAACATCACAGACGTTTACACATAGGCGCCCAGCGTTTCTAATGATATTGAATTCCAAAATCTACACATCTCAGCGTGGCGTGCCTTCCCAATGTTACCTACGTCACTGCAGACCTGATATTCAGGACACACCGAGTGTGCCTCTGTGCATGCGACCGTCAGAAAGCCTCCATCATTCCTGGCTAAAAGAATCTGCTGTGGCAATGCGCTCGATTACACCACCACATCCGGGCATAATATGGCTTCTCGAAGCCACAGCTCAGTCTCTTATAGTTCTCATGATATGCCACCAGCACCTTTTCATTGAGCCAGTCATCACCCCAGTGATGGCTTTATGATGAACACGATGGTAATGAATGATGATGATTGCAATGATCTTGTGATGCCTTTCTCTGCTGACTGCAATTAATATTCGATAATCCTTACAACCTAGGTGACAGTCAAACTATCACTTGAGTTACTCTCAGCCAGTAGACTGCGCTCCACGGCAGTCCCACAAGGCGTCGCCCGCTGCAGCCCGCGGGTCTCCCACTGAACTGACCCCTGTGACCCCAGCTGCCCTGATCCGTGACGCCCGCGGCGCCGGTGAATGATTGACCGTTGACCCTTCGAGCTCATGGCGCCTTCATAAAACACTCTCAGAGGCTGACGCGGAAACCATCCCGCCACCTCTAGCGGGTCGATGTCGTCACGCCAGCAGTCAGCCGCATCGAAATGGACCATAACCGCGCCATGTTTTGGCCCGACGTTACAGGAGCTTGGGCGAGGAAGGTGATTACAGGTCGACATCAGAAATTCCTCGTCACTACTTAGCTAATCGAACAGTGCGAGATGCGGTACCACAGGTAAGCCGATCGTGTCTTGGAATATACAAGTCTACCCTGTAAATGTGTCTTTCCTAAAACCTGCTGTCTCGGGAGATGTGAATGGTTCTGAGGCAGCATATCAGATGTCAATTATCGGCTGATTTTGAGTAACATATTTCAGGACATTTGCATCAAAAACCACTCTGAACACATCTCAGCTACACGGCTCTCGTCCGCATCCTTTCCACGTATATCAGAACACTCATGCCATAGCTTTGATCAGTTTGAGGCCAATCTCTACGCAGCAGTGCGCGTTTTCAGCCCTATTCCCAGCTCTATCACGGGGTACTCACGCAATGGCTTCGATCATGTCGAGTCCCATTTCCACGCAGCAGTGCGCGTGATCGGGACGCGGCTCGGGCAGGCCGGACACACAGTAGTAGCAATCACCGAGCAGCTTTATCCTCAGACAGTTGTGCTCAGCCGCCAGCCGGTCGAACCTGAGGTCAAACGGAAGGTTAGTTGACGTGTATGAAGACGCGTACAGACGATCAGAGCTGGCACCAGCAGTGGGAGGGGACAAACTGAGCAATAAGGGACTCCAGGGTTCTCTCACTAAATAGGAGTCCATGAGGGAAATAATGAAATGATTAGCTACATTTTTACCTGGAAGGCGTATATCACATGCAGTCTCCTAAGTCATGATGATGAAAATAGAAGACGTTATGCGATATAATAATGCACTGAAAATATGGAAATGCAAAAACATACATGAAAATGCACGATATAAACGGTTAAAAAGAAACCGTTTAATGGTCAAAATCGGTTTCCACATATTGACAGCACTCAAATTGGTCTTTACGTATGAATAATAGTAGTGCTTATTCCATCTTAGCCTTTTTATGTCGGCACACACTACACACACACGTCCAGTGCTTACCTGGCGAACAGTTCGTTCAGAAGTCTGACCAACTCCTCTGCTGTGCACTGATCAGACAGCGCCGTGAAGCCGCAGATGTCGGCAAATATTATACTGAAACACAGATGAAGCCACGAGGTCAGCTACAGGCCAGAGACGAAATCGTGCAAGCAATAAGTACCTACTATGCTGAGTCGCAGGTCACGTGAGACATAGACGAAACCTCGAACAGTACACACAGAGCCGCGTGTTTATAAACAGTTTCCGTCGTGGCACACGTACCTGACGTTGTCGTGGCGCTGGATGTATATTTTGTGAAACATAGTGTCTCGCTGCTGCCCGGCGATATCGGATTTCATCTCCATGGCAACGTGCCGAGGCAGCACGGACAAGAGAAGACGCTCCTGGAACAGAAACAGGAGATAAATAACACAGGCAGTACGGCAATGATTTGCTTTTTACAGACTCTTACGTAACGCCGAGTCGTCCGTGATCGTGATTTATGGAAAAGAGACTTAGATGAAGCACGTATGTCTGACTGCCGGTTGAATGAGTGCATTGACAGGCTATTCTATTGATTGCTTGCGTTATAGATGCTTGCCAGCATGGTCAAACCCAAGGCCATAAATATAGGTGAACTCATTTAATCACACGAATCAAGCACATAATTGGCCACATGCACTCTATGTTTCGGTTAAAAAATGTCCTGGTTAACAACATGTCCTGGTTGATAGAAAATAACCGAGCTGATATGGCAAGAACAAACATATAAACAAACATGGCCCTGTGTAGCCGGTCACCCCCTCTCCCAGTTACTCTCGGTGGCCCATTTTTCTAAATCAACGAAAACGACCACGATGAGGCAATATCAGCAGCAATAAACCACTACACTAGCAATAAATATAGCTATAAGGCTCGTTAAGTACTGACCTACCTCACCAATACCAGCCGTGTTTCTGCCAAATTCCTTCACGCCACAGATACCACACTCATGGCTCATTAGAAACAATTGATTGCATTTGCCGTGCCCACCGGCCACCACCCAGCCCCGCATCATTCATGGCCACTCATTTACGTTCATTCTCTGATGGTTCATCTACAGTTACCTGCTGTTGATTCTCCCTCTGTGTCACCAATCGAGCCTCAATACACTGGCGCGTCTCCAGGAAGGCCTTCCGCTTGGCCAGCTCGCTCGGATAATGAGTAAAGATGCCGGCCAGGTTCACACACAGAAACAGCAGGCTGTTGCAGGCGATCTGAAACAGCGACAGACACCGGCTCGGGTCATTCTTCAATCGCCGGCTGACCGAGGAATTTAAGGATGGAGGTTTTATGGATAACACCATGCTTGTCCCTTTAGTTTATTTGGTTTCTGACTAAAAATCAGATTGTGGCAAAAAACAGAATTTGTGTTCACGGTAAATTTTTGACATTATCTGGGCATGTGATGGAGTATTTAGCATGGAGATGTTGAAAATATCACATAAAAAGTATCAAGACCAAAGAAATATTCAAATTATGTAAAGGTATTGTAAACCCCGCATTCACGCTTATTCGAAACCGTCTCGGGACGCTCTTAGTGCTTCGTTGGTGCGCAAACAGCCTTTACTTAGTAAAACTTGACCAGTGGACTGTGAACATTTCGATGCGTACCCGGCGACCTTTCTCGGACCGCCGATGCCCGTTTGGCCGGCAGCAGCACTCAGCAGTCAGAACCGGGCACACACTGATTAGGACTTCCTCTGAACACAATACAATCATCGTCACTGGCGCGATGCATCTCGGCACCCTTATCAAACTGTTTTGAGCTAGCAGTTGCTCACTAATGTCGGACACTTGCTGGGAGATCGAGTGTGATTATTTTTGATGGATGATGGCTTTAAGCAGTTTCGGGAGTAGAAATACATGCGGGTACATATCTACCTTCCCGTCCAGCATCGCTCGTTTTATCATTCCCTAACAATTTCTCCGAACAACTGCATCCCTAACTCCTCTAACAGCTTCGGTCTCCCCGCCAACATCATCACTCTCCTCTCCAACATCGCCTCTCCCCCAACACCTCCCGTACTCCCTCCAAACAGCACTATCCCTACCTCCTCCAACACTTTCGGTCTCCCCTCCAACACTGTCAGTCTCCCCTCCAACATCGCCTCTCCCCCAACACCTCCCGTACCCCTCCAACATCTCCCATTCCCCCTCCAAGATCACCTTTCCCCTCCAACATCACCAGTTTCCCCTCCAACACCGGACCTTTTCCCTCTAATGCATTGCCTGTCTCGTCTGTCTGTGAACAACTTCAGTGTCTCCCAACTAGCAGATTCTCTCATTCGGTCGATGACGTCTTGTTGGAACGCCAGCCAGCGCAACAAGCCCAATTAGATTTATATAGCCCGATATATGATAACGGTACCCTTTAAATGCAGCCGCAGACATTTTACACGAAATATGTCCTCGCCAAGTTGAGCAAAACGCACAAAATTCTATTTGAGAGATCATCGCAATTCGCAGTAAAAAACAATTGCTTCTGGAAACTAGGACAGCGGCAGCCATTTCACATGCCGGTCATATCGACAATGACGACTCGCGTAACACCTACTCAATGTAGGAATCTAATGTGATGGTTCACCAATGATCCAACATGCTTTATTTAATACCTTTTGCTTCTGTCCAGTACATCGGGCTACAGTTCGCGGCTGGAAAGTGGAAACCATAGAGATCCGATCAATATCTCAGCCTTAGTAAGCCGAATCGAATGGCTGAACGTTATGCCGATCTCATTGGCAATTCCAGTCGCATGCATCGGATTTGAGTCGGCTCAGAGTTGTGGGCAATACGATCCGCGGCCGCAATGGCCGCACGTCGCATCGAGCGCGCGCGTTATGTGGCGCTGGAGAAGGTCGCCCGATCCGGAATGTTTTAACCAATAGGTTATGTGCTGCAGTCTCTCCAAACAGAGAGCCTCCATAGAGGTAACCAGCAGTGGGTGGCTGATTTACATTTTGATATGTAGAATTCTTAGTTGTTGCCGAGAAATATCATATCTACGCATGGAAACTAATTTTATTGTCATCTTGTGTGCGTCTCCTATCCAATAATACCTTTATTGTGTTGAAATATGATATCTGGGCTCCAGGCATTTGATGATCCGAATCACAAGGCGGATGCCAAACTGTTTTTCACTGAAGCCCACGATAATTAGTACCGCTCCTATCAGATACAAAGGGTAGGTATCGCCGGCGTAACAAGGTGGTCGCTGAAGGCCACTGGGTATTGATTCAGCTTGTTAGGCTCTATGATCATTCGTATCAGTATGCATGTGATAGACAATGCTCGTGTACCTACCTATTACATATGCGTGCAGAAATCACGGATATAGCCCGTAAGCGAGTTTCAACGGCGAGTATCAGGCGTAAAATGCGTCTCAGCTTGGCCCCCCCCACTTTCGAAAACGTTCCTACGCCTATAGTCTCAAAGCTTCTTTCTTCTCGATAGTTTGCAAGCAGCCAAATTCATCAGCATCCGCATCCGCTTCCGCCTATGGTTCTCTTTTCAATAAGTTCCATTACGAACGCCGTAGAGAATTTCATGAAACGATGAGCACTGGAAATCATTGAATAAGCGTCAGTTCTGATGCACAGTATCTAATGCAGGCTAGTCTGCCGTGATGAAACAAAAAACGAATGCGATCACTGATTCATGGAAAGGAATAACTTAAGCACGCTTAGACTGATATTACTCATCTCGCTCTCTCTCTCTCTCTCTCTCTCTTTCTATTTCTATTTCTATTTCTCTTTCTCTTTCTCTTTCTCTTTCTCTTTCTCTTTCTCTTTCTCTTTCTCTTTCTCTCTCTCCCCTTCTCTCCCTCTCTAGCCTTATTTCTTTCGTTCTTCTTTCCCTCTTCCGCCCTTTAACCCTCGCACGACCAGGCCATTTCTCATAACACGAACGACCAGGGGGGGGGGGGGGTTGTTACGACCCCCCTGGCGTTTCGAAACGGAAGGTCGTAGAGCTTAGCGGAAAAAACCAACGGATTGCTCTCAACGAGATCTCGCGATTGATGGTATATTTTTTGGTCCTAGGTCAACATTTGACCTACTTTTGACCGGTCAAAGGTCAAATTTTCGGAAAAATAGACTTTTTTCAACTTTCGGCGGCGACTGCGGCAAAACGGTGGGAGATATCGACTTGAAACCTTCACTAACGTGTTCCTTGATCAATTCTCTATCGTTTGGTATGTATTCCGTTTCCCTAGCTCTAAAAATGGCGCGTTGGGAGCGCCGGAAGTCGGCAAGGTCACAGTCGGCGGCAGAAATTCGAAAAATCAAAATTTAAATTTTTGAAATCTGATTGTATTTTTGGATTTGGGAGGTCCATTTGCTCCCTAAAGAAGCTAATATTGCTGCATATTCCCATTGAGGTGACAAGAATTAGCAAAATAGTGGTTCGGGCGCTTTTCAAAAATAGTACCGGACGCTGTTCCTCTTGTGACGTCATAGCTCCGTGACCTGACCTGACCCGGTCAAATTTCTTATACCATATGATAGCCAATACTTGCCCCAACATGCATGGGAAGTTTCATCACGATCCATCAACCGATGTCCGTACCACCGGCAGGAAACCTCGGGCGTTGGCACTCAGTTTGTGAAAATCCGGCCGGAGGCTGTACCTCTTATGACGTCATAACTCCGTGACCTGACATGACCCGATCAATTTTTTTTCGGCAAAAGATGCACAAAGGCTGCCCCAGAGGGTATTGAAAATTTCAGCCCGCTACGACAAGCCGTTTAGCGTGCACTTCGAAAAAACCTCAGGGGGGGGGGGTTGATACAACCCCCCCCCCCACTAGGCGTTCTAGGGTTAAAGAGCGAGTAATGAACTTCAATTTTTAAAAGATTCCACAACCAATATGAAAAATATCTACCAGCCATCGTGCACCAGGAACTTTTATGTTCCGGAGGGACAGCAAAACAAAACCAGACAACGGTTCTTCCCATCATCGTTTTGCCGATTTGACGTCAAATCCTAACCTTTATCCTCTACCGCCCCAATTCTAGTCGTCGTAATTGGTAACGAACAAGGTCGCCCCAATTCCAGCCGCACTTTGTGTCGAACAAGGTGGTTGTGTTCCCAACTGGCACAGGTCAATACCGAACTGAAAACACAAACGAGCCGCCGACGTGTGCTCGCTGGCCACGGGGACGCCATCGGCCGTTTGCGCAGTGTTCAGGACGTGTGCTTGTTAGCAGTTGACGGTGTACTCAGAGACCGACAATGACGTCATACCTGGTCATCAGTGGAACCAAATAGTCGCACCCGCTTCTGGGAAGCGGTAACGAGGCATGGCGGATATCATTTTCTTCTGTGCGAGTTAGAAAGCTGTTGAATCTGTGCCAACAACGTACAGGTTAACGAAATAAGGTCTCCCTGTGACGTTTGGTTAGTGTTTTGATTATGAATAATCATAAGTCTGTGCACTGAGTTATCAGTAACAAGCCTGCCTGTCTGCCCGTCTGTCCGTCTGTCCGTCTGTATGTCTGCCTGTCTCACAGACCCGCTGTCTATCGGACAAGTGCAGCGCTCTTGCGGCCCCCAGCAGCTGCACTTGCGGTCTGGGAGCACAGCCACACCGCCATTTGCCGCTCTAAATCGACCACAACTGCCCGCACAGCTGGCTTCAGTAGATTCCTGTCACTTAATATGCAATATTTAATTGTTATTAGAATCTTCTGAGTCATCCGTGCTTTTGCAAAACATAATAAATGACACCATTAACTCCTCGCGATTTCAATAACCACATTTTAACCGTCAATAAGAGCAAGAAAATAACTGTCAACGAAAGAAGCATTTATAATGCAGGCTGACCCTGAAATAATGTGAAATAGGAAGACTTGCGAAAGAAAAGTGATTTCGTCCATCTTTCATTATACTATACAACTGTCAAAACGCATTGGGTCGATTGGCAGTTTACAAGCGCACTTGCCAAATGTCACCATTAGATTGCCGCATCGCTGTTAACGGTTTCGCTGCTGAACGTTATGCTTTTATTCCGATTACCGCATTTCTCTGTAAATCAACATCACTGCTCCTCGCCTGTCTCTGTTAGTCATATCACCAGCCACTGCACTGTCAGTTTTTTCCACAGCTGGCCCCCATTCTTGGCGTTCTTGCAGCCTTGCTGACGTCTTTCAGCAGCTGTCTGGGCTCACAACGTCAGACAACATCGCCTGTAGGTTGTCTGGGTTATCCCCGCGCTTATCTTCGTCCAACTCTTTGTTGCTCTGTCGGACTGTCTGTCCATTCAGGCGTGTGCCGGTTTTTCAGCGGCCTCTGTTCGCTGGTCGTCTGCGCGGAGGTTGCAGCGTGGGTCGGTGATGGGTTTAGTTGATGATCTGAGTCGACACTCAATTACAGAACGATAGAGAGCGAAGACGGGACCGCCGCACCCCGCCGCACTGCAGCGAACTGAACGGAGTCGCCACCTCCATCGGACCAAGATGGCTCCGAGCTCAGGAATGAAGTTGAAATATAGGTGAGGACACTTCATCCTGACACTATATGCTAGTTTTCGGGACGGGCAGGCACCGTACCCGAACACTCATTTATCCGACGCTCTAGCTCCAAGGATTGTCCTCGTGACGTCAGGCGCGCGACCGCGGGGGCCGGGGCGAGGCCGGAGGCTCTTTCGCTCACTGGACGGCGCGCCGAGCGGTCGCGACCAGCATGTTGCCTGACGAATACAATCCCTGAACACGCGCCAGCCTTTTCCTCGGGAGCGAGACGGCTGATAAAATACCTTATAGGCGGATAACCATGTACCAATACGAGCAGTTACGGTTTATTGCTGCTAATTTTGTTTTTACTTCACGCTTAAACAAATTAAACTTAAGGCTAGTATAGGCGGACCACTCGGCTACTTATGTGATTACCCCGGAGCCATACGCTTCTTTTGAAACTGACCATAGGGGCAGTTGTCATGGACGAGAGACTGACACTCTGTCAGTCCCTCCCCTCCCCTGGACTCCCTGTCAGGCGGCATCGGTCTCCCCCAGTCACCGTGAGTGAGCGCCCGTTGGTCGGAGTCCGGCGAACGTATGTCGTCATCAGACCAAACCACATTACCGGCCCGGTAATGCGATCACCGCCGGCCTAAGCGCGACGCCACCGTCACGTTCTACCGACTCTGTGCACCGCCTGGCGATGAGCCCCGGCCGTGCCGACTACGACAGCGACGGATTGAGAGAAATGCCCACACGCAGCCCGCTCTTGGAGCAACGCTTTACAGGAGAGCAACGGTCTTGGGGCGGCACCTTACAGGAGCGCACTTTGACTTGTTTTGTATGCGGGCCGCTTCGCTCTTGGACACATATTTTATAGAGTCGCTGGCTCTTGAGGAATGTTTTATGTGTAGTTAGGACGCACTAGAAGACTAACCGGTTTAGAGCAGCCCACACTTTTGGCTAAATATGGCGCCAATGAACTGTGAACTTGAGAAGGTAGGTATGAAGGTCGTGTTCACTGAACGGTCGTGTTATACGTGCATCAATGCGTTTCAAATCCAATTCAGTTTTTGATCATTTTTTACATTCATCAATGAGAAGACATGAAAAAACTTTATAGCTTTCCTCTCGATTATGCCTCTTGACAACTTGACGATGCACTTCATACGATGATAAGAAACATAGTTTAGTGTGGAAAACTGGAATGTCAAACTGAAATATCATTCAAACCGTCGTGATCACTGACCAAAGGTCTAAACCTCATATGTTCTGCAACTTGCAAGTAATATGATCCTGAAATGGCTGCCTATCCGAGAAGCGACCACAAGCATAGAATTACCTGAGGCGGCACTTCGTCGTATAAAGCTAAACGGTCATCCGTTACGAAGATACGGAGGGAGAGCCCCCCCCCCTCCCTATTCCCTGAGCAGGCCGCTCGGCTAGTAATTACCCCAGCGGGATGCTGATTTTACTAATATGTGTATTGTGCACATAACCGGGTAAGCGTTTAATGAGTTAACGACTCACTTTTACTTTAAACATATGTTGATGAAACATATGTTGAGCCTATTGATGCCCCCTGAGCTTCTTTACCCGGACTTTGTTTGTCCCGATCTATTCATCGAGGTAAAAAGTTATGCCATTGTTCCCATTGTGTCCATTAGCCCATAGAGACCACGGTGAATAGGAGACCCAGGGGATGAAGCAGGTATTACTGAGCATCAAGGCAGTAAGTTTTCGGATTTTTTTGTGGAGCTATCCCGGGGACTACTTAACTTACCACCTGCAGCTTTCTCGGCTGCTAGTTACTAATAAATATCTAATATACCTACACCGATGCATAAGATCTCTATGCTACTACTCACCATCTGCAGCTGTCCGTTGGCTACTCACCAGCTGCGCGAAGCTGGCCTGGTTGCGGCCCAGGTAGCCGGCCAGTCCCAAGTGAAGCGCCGACAGCGTCAGGCCGGCCACGAGCGCCTCTCGTAGCCTCAACGGCAGCAGGGCGTACACCATGTAGACACAGAACAGCGTGAGCCACACGCCGGCAGTGGCCGAGTCTGCGGGAGCTGTCAGCACCACGGCGGCTACCAGCGCCACGAATGAGACGGCCACCGTGCAGCTGAACACCAGCAGGAGTAGGGTGCGCAGCTGGCGGGCGCGCGCGAGTGTCAGCGCCAGGCCCGCATACAGCAGCAGCAGTGCGGCCAGCACGGGCGCCAGAGTACGCGCCGCGCCGCGCTCTGCGCTCAGAATGTACTCCAGCAGCCCGAGTGAGACCAGCACCAAGATCAGGATGGCCAGCAGCGACGAGAACGACGACTGGTTCATGCGTAGGAAGTAACGCTGGTAGAGCGACTCCACCTGGACGTCCGCAAACCGATGCGAGCGGCAGAGGCGCAGACAGGGCGCGCAGAGCCGGCGCCGGGGGGCGGAGACGGCGGGCGGGGCCGGCGTGCTCTGCAGCAGGCTCACCTCGCCGGGCCGGGAGCGCACTGAGCCGCTGTGAAGACCCGACTTGCTGTAGTGCTCGATTACCTCCCAGTTTGACTTTCGGCCGGGCTCGGCGGCGCCGCGCTCCGCCGCGCCTGCTGTTGCTGCCGCCCCCGCCCCCGCCGCCGCCCCAGTGGTGGTGGCCGGGGTGGCGCCCGAGGCTGGGTCGACGCCGCTGCCCTTCGAGGAGCGCTGACCCATTTTGTGCTGCAAGGAAGAAAGAAACAGCGTTACCGCTTAGAATTATTGCCGAGTGACATGCAAAAGTGCAGTGCTTTTGCATTACCCAGTGTGCAAGCACTCCACTGAACTGTAATTATCCATGAAATTCTTTCATGGCACTGCATTTAAATTTCCTTGACGTAACTCTTTACTTTCCACGTCAACCATACACAAACACAGACAGCTTGTCATACAAACAAAATCGATGATCTCAGAACTCGATGTATCCCAAATCTCCATGCATCCCCACCCGGTGTTCCCTATCCCCTTGCGCCCCAATGCGTCTTATGTCCTCTGGCTCCCTACATCCTGATGTGTCCTGGACCCTCCCCCCCCGTGTGTCCTGTGTCAGCGCCGCGGGCGGCAGTGATGACGTCACCGTCTCCAGGGTGGTATTGTAGCGGTGCCACGGTGGCGGACGGGCCGACGGACGCGGCTGAGCGCGAGGACGGACAGAGTTGGCCCCGTGCCGGACGATTGGGCCTCGCTCATTGGCAGCTGCCCTCCTCTGAGACGGTCCCCGACCCCTGCTGAGACAGTCCCCAACCCCCGCGTCCCCAAGGTCCACCGACCGACGAGGGGGCGGTGGGGGGGGGGATGACATGGCGGAACAGCGAGTACGGCAACACCGGTCTGATTTATCCATTCGTCCAAATGTTGATAACTTAGATCACACATGGCTGCAGAAATGTAGGCCTAAATAATCACTTTGTTGTGAAAATACACTGTAAAAAAAGTTTACAAACTACCGTGTTAATTGCTCAACAAAAAGATAGTATTAAGACACACAAAAGCTGAAGATAGCAATGAGGTTAGTAAACGGTTTGTATGTAAGCACATTTATTTGTGGTAAACAAACATATAAGTTACAAAACTAAGCCAAGGTGTGTCAACTAGTGGTGTGTCAGCAAGCACTATGCGTGTTTTATACACTATATGCCACACTTACGCAAAACGTGTTTTCGAACAAACTATACATAGCAGGGGACACTAACATACGACCTTTTGTACAACATGTACCTTTGTGCTAAAACACACTTGAAGTTATTTGACAACTGCGGTGCAACTGCGTCACGTCCGCCATGTTTTTTCGGCGCGCGTCCTTTGGCTTGTGCGGCTTGTGCTGTGTCCGCGTCGTGCGGGTCTCTGATGGTGAGTAAGGTGTTGCCAGATATAAATTTGATGTAATTATGCTTCTGTGTTGTATGCCTTGAATTTTGTCAATCGATTTATCTTTATTCGGTGCTAGTGATAACCGTGATGATGCAATGAATGTTGTGTGAATGAGGGACAGCATTATGACCACCAACTGTATCTTAGCAAAATATAGGTTAAAATATAGGAATTCTATAGGTTATTACTGAGGTTACTAGGTTGCTGTAGATTATACTTTGATACAGCCCCCTAATTATTTAATTGCACATGAATAAGGTGGCCCAGTAAGACAAACCCGACAACTATGTCTAAGGACAACTCTAGTAAGATCTGTCTAACGCATTTCAGGTGGCCTTGCAGTCATAGGATAACCTTTATTGGGCAAAAGCTGCCCATTTTTGTTCACCTAAAAATATTTTTTATTTAAAATTTCTTTACGTTCTTTCCTGTTCAGTGAAAGTTGAAATGGGCATCATTTTCTGAAATTTATTGGTAGGGTCCCAAATGATAATTTTTGCAACATTGAAGCATGGGAGTTGCAACTTGCCACATTCTCAAAATGAATGATGAGAGTCAATTTAATTCAGGAAACAGGTTAACTCCCCTGGTTCCGCCAGTGTATAGCTGGAATGGAACTTGCATATAAAGGCAATCATTTAAGTATTCGGTTCCAAGGTACAGGGGTGGCAGAAGGTGAAGCACAACAGGGGAATGTGCCACACAAAATTGTGGCTGGGGCACCTGGGTCGAAATTTCCAATAGTACCTTACCTTTCCGCTGTGGCTAGATTAGTTATATCTATTGATTAATGTTAACCAATGGTGTTAACTTCAATAACCACCTAAAATAGCCAGAAAATTTACACCTAAACCAAATTATGAACACTGATGGGTATAGGCACATAGCTCGGACAAAATATAACCAAACCTAACCTAACCAGACCTAACCTAACCTTACCTAACCTAACCTAAACTAACAAAACCTAACCTAAACTTACCAAAAATACACCTACAACCTACATTGGCAACCGAAAGCTACTTGTGCCGTTATTGAAAGTAGACTAAATTAACTAATAACAGGAAAATCAGCATTTAATTAGCTTTTTGATGTTTGCAAATAACTAACAATGATATTTCACATCGAAAAACACCTATACTATACCTACATTTTTACTAATGTTGGAACAGGTACCGTTGGAACTTTTCACTGACACCCGACATTTAAAGAAGAGCATATGGAATGGAAGATGAGTTACCGCATTATTGCAGATAAAATTGTTAACATTGATTTTCTTCTATGGGGGTTTCAATTCTTGGGGATGCTTTTCTATGCGAGAATTAGATATTTACTTTGCCCTTACATCCTGAGGTGCCTTCCGCGGTCCGCCAGTGGCCCGGGAACGTTTGAAAAGTTGAGGGGGCAGGTTAAAAAGTTGAGGGGGCAAAAGTTAAAACTCAAAAGTTCTATATTTCTTTCTTTCCATGCAACGCCATAAGGCTAATGTTGAATTTTCCCGAAAGTTGGAGGGGCGCTGCCCCTCCAGTCCAAAAGTGGGAGGGGCAAATGCACCTGCTGTCCCTCCTCTTCCCAGGCCTATGCCTTCTGCTGCTGCAGCTTAGACATGTAGTTTAACTACCCACTGACTAAGAATGCAGTTCACATTGCCTTACTTTAATGGATCACAAGGTGAAACTCTTGATTATCACTTGTCTAGATATTAAGTAATCCAGATACTTTTGATATCGATCAATAGAGCAGCTCACACTTAGTGTGTGCTGTAAAATCTGACATGGGAGATGTGTTAGGCAAGGGAAAAGCAAATATTTTAGGCCCACCCCACTTCAGTTGGGAAAACAGTAATATGTTCCTTTTTTTTTAAAGCTTCTAGCAGGCTTTCGTAGCCGCCGTTTCTAGTCGGAATGTAAATTGGCGGAAATGGCCAAGATAGGCCAAGGTGAAGGAGTTTATGCCCTGGTTTATGGCGGGCAGCATTTTTGGAAATCTAGAATAAAAATTACGATTTTTTATTTGAAACAAATAATGTGAGTTACATTGTAGGTTTTTGGGCAAGTCACTGTAGTATGAATCAACAAATTATCTTCCAAAAATAGCAAGAATGCAAAGCTCTCCGGGTTACCTTGGCCGTTTTTCCGCCTATTATATTTGGGCTATCTCGGCATTTTCGACACTACCGCGGGTAACTACTGGCCGCATGACCGGAGATAGGCCTGTTTATCTTTAAGAATCAGTAAAAAAGGAGATTTGTTTGTACAGTGGCTTGCAAAATTAATTTTTGATAAGTAAATCCCTGGCCTAAGACCTATCCCTTTTCGCAACTAGCGAGTAGACCGCATCATCAAACATCCGTAGGTTGTAGTTTAGATATAGTTAGGTTAGGTAAGGTCCTGTTAAGTCTGGTTTAAATATGTTTATTATTCCCATTTTACTGTTTAAACGACATTTAATAGTATATTTCATAGTTTTACTGATATTTCCTTTTTGGTCTTATGACGTCATTATTGCCCACACATTGCATATGTAGTATTTTTCTTTTGTGAGTCATTTCATCCTTGATTAGGCGCGCATTGTTGGCATGACCCCGTTACGAGAAGATTTCAATTTTTGTCGATTTTTATAGATTTTAGGTGAGTTAGTTATCAAAGTGTTTAATTTTTGATGTTCTGTGAATAATTGAAAGCCATCAAAGTGTGATCTAATGCACTGAAAGCCATAGGTGTGGGAACAGGGGGGGGGGGGGGGACGGCCGGGCCATCACCATGGCCCACCCACCTTTCAGCTACGTTACAATCAGATCGGATACTCAGCTCGACTTGCCCCCCCCCCCCCCCCCCCACACACACTTCTCAAAACGTTCCTACACCTATGCTAAAAGCCATTTTTGGAGGGTGGTGTTATTTTCCAAAATTTGACAAGGCCTTTTCCGTCCCGATTTATGGAAGTTTCATCCCTATTTTTGGAAAATGCCCTTCTATTTTTGGAAGAGCATACTAAAAAAATGGAAGCTTCCAAAAATGAAACAGATGGCCACTGCCACTGTTTACCCAACTGATTTCCAGTCTGCAAAACATGGCAGGGAGCTCGACAAGATTTTCAGGGCAGACAAAGTCCTGCCCCGAATCAGAATGCTGAGTCCAGGGGTAGCCCAATTCCTGCCCCTAATGATGCAAATAATGTAATGATATAATGATGTAGGAAGCAGTGAGAAGCTGAGAAAATCACTTCCGTCAATTTTTTAAACTTCTGCACCAGATTTTCCTGCTTCTGCCCCAGTATTCCGGAAACCTGCCCCTATTTCTGCCCCGACCTGCGGTGTCTGCCCAGACAAGATCTCGTCGAAGAATGCCACATTTTGCAGACTGGACCAGGACTGATTTAGTGTGGTGATCACCCAGCTATATCACTATTGTTAGCAGGATGATTGGTGTACCTACCTATGTATGGATGGATGTATGGATCAACTTCATGATTTGCCAGCTGATTTGGTTATCAGTATTGTGATCAGCCAGCTGACAGCCTTTTCAAAAAGTTGTTCAGCCAGCTGACTGCATAATCATTTTCATGATAAACCATAGGGCTGTTCGGGTGCTGCAAAATATTTTGCGCGACTGTGACATCACACTTGTATGATGTCACTGCCCATCCCGTCGAGCAAAATCTTTCGCAGAACGCACCGAACACCTCAACATATTTTGCGCGAGACAATCGTGCCGCTCCATTCCAGCAAGCAGCGACGTAATAACTAATGAAAAACTTCACCAACCCATTTCCAATTTATGCACCGACAAAATAACACCAAACACTGCATAAATTCACTATAGTTAACACTGCACACTTCGCCACTGTACGTTGTCTGCGCCAAGTCTGCACCACTTTTGCCTCCTGCATCCTGAAATTTTAGGATGCGCGAAGCTGAAAGATTTTGCAGATGCCGATGTCACACATGTGACGTCATACGGTGGTGGGCGGAGCATAAGGCCTGAAAGGTCCCTACTGCGCATGCATGCTGCAAAATTTTACAATAGGATGTGCGGGCCGAACAGCCCTCATCATGGAGGGCATCTTTTCCTTATCATGTTTTTGATTGTGTTTGGGATCTGGCTACAGGTGACATAACCTTTGTGAAATTTTGTGATTTTCCAAAAGTGCTGCAAAATAGGCGTAAAATGATCACATTTGTGATTAATCACATTTGTGATTTCCTCCCCGTAGTTTGCCCAACTGAATCATAAGTCATAACAGGCTTTCCTCTTTTCAGGCAACTGTAGAAGTGGTTCTGCGTTGTACAGTTCCATTATGTCTGTTTTCTTCTAGCTCAATTGCTTTGTTTTGTCAGCATATCAATAACCACTTCAAGGATAAATCTGAGAACTGCAACTTTTTTCTCTGTCCGCGTTGTACACAAGGGTTCACAACTGGACGTTACTGGCTGAGACATTATGAAAGAACCCATGCTGTCAAGCAAAGTACGTCACAGTCGCACAAAGAGAAAGGAAGGCAAAGTCTGGAGGAGTCACCTTCAATCAGTACTCATTGTCAGGAAGAAGCTGAGGTTGAGACTGAGGCCTGGTGCTTGGATGATCAGGGTGAGAAAGGCTCTACAGCAAAAACTGAAGACAGTAGCCGGGAGAAAATAGCACGTTTCTTGCTTCGATTGCAATGTGAGCATGGGATGTCACGGGCTGCAACATCTTTCGTGGCTAGTGAGATAGGAGAAATCGTCGACACCGCTCTTAAGGAGCAGAATGAGAGCAGAGCATCAAAGTCGTCTTCAGTTAAGCAGGCTTGTGAAGAGTTTGCAAGCGAGTATAAATTGAGCAAATTCTGCCATGAGGAGCTCTGCTACATTGCACCTACGACTCAGATCCTTACCACAGGGGGTGGTGAATTCCAATCCAGCTATCAGTATGTGGATGTCAAGAAACAGCTGACAAGTCTCTTGGAAAATGGCAGGCTGGAAAACTGCAAACGGGACAGATTGGTCAAGCTTGTGCTCTACTTTGATGAATTTGGTGTGTGTAACCCTCTGCGGAAGAAAGCATCTGATTATAGTCTGGGTGGTTGCTATTTTGCGGTCGATGAGGGCTTGTCAATGTCGGTGCTGAGTGACATTCATCTCCTCCTACTATGTCCTACAAAACTCATCAAGCTTCATGGTTTGAACACAGTCATGAAGCCTGTGACAGATTCCCTGTGTGACCTCTTGAACAATGGCCTGGATACTTGTGGCACTCATTTTGATATCAAAGTGGAGTTTGTGTGTGGTGACAACCTGGGAGTGCATAAGATGGCGGGCTTCCAGGAATCATTTTCGTCAGGGCAGCGACCATGCCGAACATGCCACGCCACAAATGAGGACTTTGGTACAAAGCTCACAGAGCAAGAGCTGACCCTTCGTACTGAGGAGGAGTACCAAGAAGAGCTGAACATGTGTGAGAATGGAGACAATGAGGAATCTCGAAAAGCATTTGGTATCAACTCAAAATGTGTGTTTGATGAGCTGAAAGACTTTAAGGTCACAGAGATGTTTCCACCAGATATCGCGCACGATCTGTTTGAAAGTGGCGTAGTCAATCATTCCTTGGCTCTGGTGCTATCATACCTGATTTTTCAAATCAAACTCTTCACATTCGCCTCAGTTCAAAAGGCTATGAAATCCTTCTCATATGCGAGAGTCGACAAAGCGAACACTCCTCCCATGCTTCAAGCAAAGGGGCGCAAAGTGCTCGTCAAAGGCACTTTCAGTCAGTGCTGGACTTTCCTCCGAGTTCTCCCTTTCATGATCGGTCCACTGGTCCCACCAGATCAAAAGGCGTGGCTTCTTGTGACCGGTTTGCTTTCTCTTGTACAACTCATTTGTGCTCCACGTATGGACGGTGAAATTCTTGCAAGAATGCAACCTTCAGTAGAGCAGTGGCTGCGTGAGTTCTGTGGAATGTTCCCGGACTTCAAAATCAAGCCGAAGTTCCACTACTTATTACATTACCGGCACTGGGCAGCACAAATTGGTTCCTTGAGGAAAGCTTGGACTATGCGTTTTGAAGCTAAACACCAGCAGTTCAAGATCTACGCATCTCGAGCACACAACACCAAGAACATTTGTAAAACCCTCGCAGTGCGACACCAAGAAGCGGTAGCTGCATGCGAAGGAAAGCAAAAGAAGATGATGGGGAAGAAATGCAAGCCATGCCTAGTTACAGGTGCATTCGGATGGGAGGTGGATGACCGAGCTACGTACACCAAGATGGCAGTGCTTGCGGGACAGAAGTACTGCGTCGATGATGTGCTGATCGTGAGAAACCCGGCTGCTTCAAGCTCAGAGAGCTGTGATCTTCTTCGCGTAGCATATTTTCAGTTTGATGCAGTAAACCATGTCAAAATCATCGGTGACGTCTTGAGGGCGCTTTCGTTTGATGAGCACTATATGGCATACCGTGTGACTAAGGGCGAGATGATGATGATCCCTTCTGCTTGGATTTTTGACCCCACTCCGCTGGCTACTTATTCAGTGCAGACCGCAAAATACGTGCCCCTCAGGTACCAGATACCAGGTCTCCGAATCACCTCTGAAAGGTGAGTAATCTGTGCATTTTGCTTCAATTTGAAGTATCAGATTTACTGCGAACTCGCGACTGCTTGTATTGAGCAGTATTGCAGCTATTTGCTTCGCTGTTATGGCTATTGTGAGTGCAAACTTACACTCACTCGGGTCTTACACTGGCTCTGATATCTGACATGTAGCTAGCGGCCAGTTATGTGGCTTCCACGCGTCCATGGTGTGAAACTATTGCATGAACGCACGTGCACACACCGCCCCTATATCTCGGGAACGGATGAGGCGATTGTGCTCAAATTTGCTACGAAGGTAG